CGACCTCACAGGACAGACAGAGGGGGAGGTTCCTAATGGGTTGAATGGAGGGGTTCTAGCCAGCAGTCGCCTGCTCCCGAATGTCTCTCCCTTCCCCTGTTGCCAATGCCAAGAATTCTGCAATTGTATCTTCATGTCTTGGAATAGCAAACGTTTTTTGGCGTTCTAGACTCACAGCACCAAAGCCCATGGGAAGTGTAACAACTGAATTGTCGGTTAACATTTTAGTGCTAGCTAACAGCCGGCTGACGGCAAGGTCCCCTGGGAATTAAGATCATGTGCTTGAGGAAGGCAGGTGAGAGAGCAGAGACTGGGGAGAACACAGCATTGCCTGCATTGGTCCTAGGGACCAGGTATTGCCAGAGAGGACTGTGGGTTAGGGAGGCCTGAGCTCTGTGTCAGGGGGACCTGTGAGGAGGCAGTGCCTGGGCTTCCTTGGATAGGTCCTATGGCCTGGGAATTGCCTTCCTCGTGGGAGTGTAATAGGGTGGACGCAAAGACAAGCAGCAAGATGGAGACAAGTGGAGAGACACTCTGGTCAGGAGGGAAGTGTCTTGGTTTCCCCGTTGCCCTGGAGAATACAGAGTGTTTCTTCTGCTGTCATCACCCTGTATCACAGACCGTCTTGAGTACTGGAGCCCGGACAGCTCGTGCTTCCACCACTGTCTGATTTCTCAGGCTGGGTCTCCATGCTCAGTCGGGACAGTGCTTTTCAGATGAATCAATCCAATATCTTTCCCCCTGGTGGATGACCAACAGAGAGCTGGGGCCACAGCCCACTCCGACATATTGTTGGATCACAGCTATCAAACGCCAGCCCTTCAGGGTCCAGACCCAGCTTCTCCTTGTTGGCAAATCTCATTCATCCTTGAGGACTCAGATCAAAGCACCTTCACCACAAGCCTTTCTCATTTCTCTGAATTTCTGCTGCATTTACTTTGGTCCAGCATCCTTCTTTGTCTTGGTCTTCAGTGCCTTGGCCAGTCAGTCCTATCTTCTTAACCAGACTGTAGGTTCTCTAAGGGCTGGGCTGTGTCTTATTGGTCTTAGTGTATCTTCTCCACCTTCTCTGCACCCTAGAGCCCTCAGCACAGTGCCATGCGCATGGTAGGCTCTTAGAAAAAGAGGTGGTTGTTTTTGATGATAACAGTGACACAGATGTTCATGGCTTTTAGGACAAACTTTCTACCATGACTGCCAAGGTCCGACATCAAGTGACCCTGCAACCTCTCCAGCCACATCTGCCAGCACTCTACGCTTCACTCACTGCATTCCACCCACACTGGCCTTCGGTCAACTCATCTCAGCATATATTGTTCCATCTGGAATGTGTCTCCCTCCTCTCCTGGTTAACTCCTTGTCATCCTTCCAATCTCAGCCAAATATTACCTCCACAGGGCAGTCCTCCCTCCCTAGGGGGATCCTTTGTTCTGAGCTCTTGTAGAACTGTTTTCCCTAGCAGAATTCAAAGCTCTGGCCTCCATGGTGACTCTGCACGAATTGTGTGATGGTTGGTTGTCAGCCTGCCCCAATCAAAGAGCTAACGGCCCCCTGTTTGCCCACCAGGTGGCTGGACAAGGATAAAGACGATGGGCAGTTGGTCCGAGAGTTGCTGCCCAGTGACAGCAATGCGACACTGAAGAGTAAGTTGTTGTGATGACCAGGTGTGATGGGTGTGCCCTTGGTGAGACAAGTACCCTCCCTCGGCTACACAGAAGCAAGCCCTTGGAGAAAGCACGTGCTCTTCACTTCATTCCACAGAGGCAGCGCTGGGGAGGGTGGAGAGGAAGAGGCTCTGAGGGAGGACCTGGAATTCTTTGTCTGTCTGCGCTGTGCACACAGTCTCTTTGGATGAGGGGTTCTGGACGCATATGGGCCCCTGCCGATAAGAGTAACAAAAGCAATAACATTGGCTACAAAGGACTCACCTTTCCCCAGATGTTCTTATCCTCCCTTGTGAACAAATGACACAGACCTTTCTGGGTGATAAAACGGAGTGACATCAGCATGGTGTCTTGTTTAAGAATAGGGAGCTTTAGGTCCACATTAGGCTTTCACTCCTGGATGGCTACTTCTTAACTGTTGACGTCTGGAGCCAAACATACAACCTTTTGGCGCTCAGATTCCTCACTTACAAAGCTGAGGTCAGAATAGTTAGCAATCATACTGCGTACAGAATGTGCTAAACACTGTCTGCAAAGGTTGATGCTCCCTTTGCCTCCATTTCCTCATCCATCAGATGAAAAATTGGATGAGGTGGCTGCTGTAGATCCTTTAAGTTTTTTACGCTTTAGTATGGCATGATTTCAGCACGTTCACGCCCTGTGGGGCAGGCCGAGCAGGTATTAGATTCTGATGTTGTAGATGAGGGAACTTCACGGAAGTGGGGGGAGACCTCCCAAGTCGCAGGGCTACTTAGAGCAAGAGTTGGGTTGCTGACCCCTCACCTAGTGTCCCACCTGGGGCTACAGACTGCCTTCTTCCTCCCTGCTTCTTCCTGCTGGGCCTGCACTAATCCACTCTCTTCTTGCCTTCTGCCGTGGACTGCTCAGACTTTCGCTATCACATCAGCTTGAAGACTGGGGACGTCTCTGGGGCCAGCACGGATTCCAGAGTCTACATCAAGCTCTATGGGGATAAATCTGACACCATCAAGCAAATTCTTCTTGTCTCTGACAATAACCTGAAAGACTATTTTGAACGTGGCCGGGTGGATGAGTTCACCCTCGAGACCCTGAACATTGGAACTGTAAGTCTTCTTTCCAAACCACGTAACATCATCTCACCCATCCCCATGCATATATCCACACATGGGTTCACACACAACACACACACACACACACACACACATACTCCCCTACACCTGGGTTGAACCCATTGTGAAGGGAAAACAATGCCTACTTGGTACGTTGTTTTTCAGTGATGCCCTAGAACAGTTGAAGCTATGGGAACAGTGATTAAGCTCCCAGAGTCTCTTTGGCTATGGATTGCATGATTTTAGTGGCTGTAGTCCCAACATTTCCTTTACCTCCATATCCAGGACCCGTGTACCTGGGTCCCAGACACCAGAGAAGGGGACATGGGTGTGCAGGGAAAGAAAAGAGCAGAAGGAAAACTGAAAAGAGGGGCCAAAAATACTTCCCAATTCCAAACTTGGATTTGAGTGTGCATCAGAACTATGCCCAGGAAGCTTGTTTCGGTGCATACTCCCGAGCTACAACAGAGAGATTCCGCCTTAGAAGATGGGACTCAGGATTCTCTTTCTATCAAGACTCCAGGTGACCGTGCTGCAAGTGGTCTGAGCACTTTGCCTGGAGAAACATGGGTCTCCCTCTCTGGTCTTGAGTGTTGGAAACACTTCTAAAAATGTCTGAGCTGGGCTTCTTGTTACCGCCTCCTCTCTCAGGGCTTGGCTTGTGGAAATTGAGACAGTAACAAGCTCCCCGGCTGCAGCCTCACCTTTCCTGGCCCCTTCCGCTCTCCGGGAGCCTCATCCTATTTCAGGTGCCCCACCAAAAAGCACTCTGGTGAGAGAGCACATGTCAGTCATTTACATCTCAAAGATAATGAGCTTAAGTCAAGTTTTTCCTTGATCAAAATGTATTTACATTTGGAGCTGAATTAATAATTGTAAAGTGAAATTCTATTCCCTGTACTGAGGGTTTCTGGGAGCAGCCAGCAGATAAATGAGACATCTGAGGGCAGGATGGGGGCATTTGGGGCCTTCCTTGAGTTTCTGGAACCCCCTCAACAGGCAGTGTGGCCAAGAGGTTGGGAGCGAGGACTCTGGCTGCCGACTGCCTGAGTCTGAGGTCCCACATGTCCACTTACCTGCTGTGTGTGCATTTCTTAACCTCCCTTTGCCTCCGTTTTGTCATTCATAACAACCAGGGATCCTAACGGGATTGCTGTTAGCGTTAACTCTGTTAGTAACACACACATGCGCATGTAGGAAGCGCTCGTTAAACCCTGGCTGTTACTCATAGAACAACAGCTCCATGTCAGGTGCTAGGTGGTGTGGAATTGAAAGACAGTCCCTGCCCTCAAGGAGCTTCCTGTCATATCAGGTAGAAGACACCTGTCCCCATCTTTACTCATTCAGCCGGTCACTCCCTAGGGCCATCCCAGTCCCAGCACCACAGAAAGACGAAGTTCTCCCATGTCCCTTAGCACACACCCAAAAGGCTCTCCAGCTGTATTTGTAAACGTAGCTGGTTTCCTTCCACAGTTCCGGGGACCGGGCTACATGCACTAGGCTATGGCGGTGTTTCTGTTACCAGCTGCAAAAAGACACTTAGCACAGTACTCATGAGAGTGAGGGCAGGGCTCGCACAGGTGGTTTTCTAAATCTGGCCTTTTGGCACCACACTCGGCTAGCGTCACTCTTCCAAACCATCACAGAGGGAACCTGGGGGGCTGGAAGGGATCTTGAAGGCCATCTGATAATTCTGTCTGATGTTGGAACTGCCCTGTTTATAGCATCTCAAAAAAAAACATAAAAGCAATTTGAATATTGAAAAGCCAAGTACATATAAGGATGGTAACATGACCATGTATGAGGTCACCCATGTTGCCTGTGGGCAAAGATGTTAAAATGTGAAATAGCAAAGCAATTGGACTATCCAGTGTTGTTGGAAAGAGAAAAATTGTTCTCCAGGTGCAAGAGGGAGGGGAGGAATTGGGCACAGAACCACAGAGCTCCACATATTCTGTCGCCTAAAGGATGGGTATGTCAAAGAAGAAATGCAGAAATACTCACAATAGTGTATTGTTTAAAACAAAACAAAGCCAGATCAATACCATGGCTACCAGAAGCAGATGGTTAACATTTTGAACGTTTGCTTCCTTGTGCAGCCACCCCATTATTATTAAGTACACATTAAGTACACCACCTAACAATATTAAGTACATATTGGAGCTTTCAAAGTTCATGCCACACCTGTTCCCCCTCGTGCTTCTCACAACTTCCCCGCAGGTGAGTTGGACTAAAGAGAGAACAGAGGCTCTGGGCAGAAGAGCTGGCTGATGATGGAGAGGACTGGTACCCAGCCTCTGACTGCTGAGCCTTCCCCGCTCCTGGGGGAGATGAGACTGGGTTGAGGAGAGCAGGTTGCGCCAGTGTTTGGGGGTAGGGATGGGAGTATGGAGGTTCCCAAGCACCGGCTCCTTGCTCACCTGCTCTCTGGGTTTCCTTCCAGATCAACCGGCTGGTGATCGGGCACGACAGCACGGGCATGCACGCCAGTTGGTTCCTGGGCAGTGTCCAGATCCGAGTGCCCCGCCAAGGCAAGCAGTACACCTTCCCTGCCAACCGCTGGCTGGACAAGAACCAGGCCGATGGGCGCCTGGAGGTGGAGTTGTATCCCAGCGAGGTCATGGAGATCCAGAAATGTATGGTGCTGGGACCATCAGCATTGTTTCCCCTGCGGGATGGGGTAGTGGGGAAGGAGGAGGGACTATGGGGTGACCTGGGTCTTATCTCCAAGGAGGGCTTTCAATTGTCTCTGGCATCATGGTTCTGGGAGGGAAGAAGTGCTCATTTTACAGATGGGGAGACTGAGGACTCAATGGCTGAGACACATTTTTCCTGGGTTAAAGGCAGCAAATCGTTTTCCTAAGAAATGTACCTTCTCAGTCCTGTGTACAAGAGGAGTTTGAGACAAAGTCTGTGTCTTCCCCTGGGAAAACTGTCTAGGGAGATAAAGCTGTTTATTCATTCATTTATTCAATAAGTACATATTGAATGTTTCTCTGTGCCAGCACTGCCCTAGGCTTTGTAGAGGCGGCTGTGGGCAAAACAGAACCAATCCTTGTCCTCATGGATTTACATTCCACCAGGGGAGACAAACAAAGAATACACAAGAACTATGAAGAAAAGGAAGCAGGATAAAGGGTTAGGAATGGTGTCGGGGTGAGGGACCTTTATGGACAGGGTGGCGACATCTCTGAGTGGAGGTGAAGTTCAAAATGATCTGGCTGCCCATTGCACATGACGTGAGAGCCCTAGATTATGGTAGAGGTCAGAGAGACTAGAGGCCATCTAAAGGGTCAGGAGGACAGCAGGATCAACACCAGGCACAGAGAATGTGACTTCCCTCACCTCTGCGTTTCTGCACCTCCCCTGAAAGCAGCTGTCAAGGCTCACGTCCACAGGAAGCTTCCCTGGAAAGAACCCCATCCAACACACCTCTTCCTCTTCCAGAACTCCTGTGTCTTTCCATGTGTGCATTTTCTCTCCTCAAGTTCCTTGAAGGCGGTGTCCCATTTACGTGCTTTGTAATGGCACCTGCCAGTGTGAAGAATCAACTCTTTCCCTCTTTTTATAAATTAAAACATTTCCACCAGAGTAATATATGTACCAGTTAACAAGACGCAGATAAAAACACAGTAGTTTCCTTACCTACCTCCTCCTCCTCCCTCATCCCCCTTCTTCAGAGGTAACAAATTTTTAATTGCTCTAGCTTTTTCTCTGAAATTTATTTCCATATTTTCAATAATATGCTTACCAATTTGTTGATTTTTCAGTCCTAGGCATTAACTATTGACTTTCTATTATAGAAGAGGAGGATTTAGCCCTTTTCACATGTGCACATGGATGGGTGTCTGCGTGCACACACACACACACACACACAGTTCCCCTTCTTCCAGCATTTGATAAAATTACGATATTCAATTTTTACATTATTATGACCATGTAAATATTATTCACTGCTGAGACAACTACTGTATGATAATTACATTTCAGCTTTTGTACAACTTTTTTTTCTGGAGTTCCTAATAGCCTCATTTTTTTGTTTGTGTAGTTTTCTATATATCCATCTATATACCCACCCATCAGTATGAGTTTGCTAGGGCTGCCCTAATGAAATACCACAGACTGGGGGCTTAAACAACAAAGTTTTATTCTTTCACAGTTCCGGAGACTGGAAGTCCAAGATCAAGGTGTCGACAGGTTGGGTTTCTTCTCAGACCTCTCTCCTTGGCTTGAAGATGTACGCTTCTCATCGTGTCCTCACCTGGTCTCTCCTCTGTGCATGTGCATGTCTATGTCTTACTCTCTTCTTATGAGGATACTGGTCATATTGGGCTGGGACCCACCTAATGGCCTCATTTTACCTTCATCACCTCTTTAACAGCCCTATCTCCAAATACAGTCACATTCTGAGATACTATGGGTTAGGGTTTCAACATATCAATTGAGGAGGACACAATTTGGCCCATAAACCCCGCCTTATGCCCATATCTCCAAAGGAACTAAAATCCTTTTCATATATTCAAGCCCAACAGGAGTTCTGTTGGTTTCCTCTCTGTCTCCTTCTCCCCACTCCCTGCTCAGGACATTCCTTTAGGAACCTCTGTCTTCCTGCTTTCTATGCTGCCATGAGGCTGTCCTTTGGAACTTCCTTTTTACCATCTCTTTGGAAACTCCTTTCTTCTTTCTCCTGGGTTGGATCTCCTCTTTCCTAGATGTCATGTCTTCCTCTTCTTTAGTTTATTCCCTTATTTTAGTAGAACACATTCTCCACTGGGAGCTTCCTGAGAACAGGTGGATGGAAGAGAAATGTGGAGACCTTGCATGTCTGTAAGTGTCTTTAGTCCACTCTCACAGTTGGCCAATAGTTTGGCTTATTATAGAATTCTGAGTTAAAACTCATTTTCCCTTAGAGTTCAGAAGGAATTATTCTACCATATTCCAGCTCCCAGTGTTGCAGTTAAGAAGTCTGCTGTCATTCTGCTATTTAACTCTTTGGGTATTTTTCTCTCTGAGAGCTTATGGGATCCTATTTTTTTTTATTATTAATGTTATGATAGATTACAACCTTGTGAGATTTCAGTTGTACATTATTGTTAGTCATGTTGTGGGTACACCTCTTCCCCCTTTGTGCCCTCCCCCAACCCCCCCTTTTCCCTGGTAACCACCGATCAGATCTCCTTGTCAATATGTTAACTTCCACCTATGAGTGGAGTCATATAGAGTTCGTCTTTCTCTGACTGGCTTATTTCGCTTAACATAATACCCTCGAGGTCCATCCATGTTGCTGCGAATGGGCCAATTTTGTCTTTTTTTATGGCTGAGTAGTATTCCATTGTGTATATATACCACATCTTCTTTATCCAATCATCAGTTTCTGGGCATGTAGGTTGGTTCCACGTCTTGGCTATTGTAAATAATGCTGCGATGAACATAGGGGTGCAAGGAACTCTTGGGATTTCTGATTTCAGGTTCTTAGGATAGATACCCAGTAATGGGATGGCTGGGTCATAGAGTATTTCTATTTTTAACTTTTTGAGGAATCTCCATACTGTTTTCCATAGTGGCTGTACCAGTTTGCACTCCCACCAACAGTGTATGAGGGTTCCTTTTTCTCTACAACCTCTCCAACATTTGTCGCTCTTGGTTTTGGATGTTTTTGCCAATCTAACGGGTGTAAGGTGATATCTTAGTGTAGTTTTGATTTGCATTTCCCTGATGATTAGCAATGATGAACATCTTTTCATGTGTCTATTGGCCATATTTATATCTTCTTTTGAGAAATGTCTGTTCATGTCCTCTGCCCATTTTTTGATCGGGTTGTTTGTTTTTTTGTTGTTAAGCCATGTGAGTTCTTTGTATATTATGGAGATTAACCCTTTGTCGGATAAGTGGCTTGTAAATATTTTTTCCCAATCAGTGATCTGTTTTTTTGTTTCAATCTTGTTTTCCCTTGCCTTGAAGAAGCTCTTTAGTCTGATGAAGTCCCATTTGTTTATTCTTTCTATTGTTTCCCTCAACCGAGGAGTTATAGTGTTCGAAAAGATTCTCTTGAAACTGATGTCAAAGAGTGTACTGCCTATATTCTCTTCTAGAAGACTTATTGTTTCAGGCCTAATCTTTAGGTCTTTGATCCATTTTGAGTTTATTTTGGTGTGTGGTGAAAAAGAATGGTCAATTTTCAATCTTTTGCATGTGGCTGTCCAGTTTTCCCAGCACCATTTGTTGAAGAGACTTTCTTTTCTCCATTGTAAGCCCTCTGCTCCTTTGTCAAAGATTAGCTGTCCATAGATGTGTGGTTTTATCTCTGGGCTTTCAATTCTGTTCCATTGATCTGTGGACCTGTTTTTGTACCAGTACCATGCTGTTTTGATCACTGTAGCTTTGTAGTATGTTTTGAAATTGGGGATTGTGATTCAGCCAGCTTTGTTTTTCTTGCTCAGGATTGCTTTAGCAATTCGGGGTCTTTTGTTGCCCCATATGAATTTTAGGATTCTTTGTTCAATTTCTGTGAAGAATGTTCCTGGGATTCTGATTGGGATAGTGTTGAATCTGTAGATTGCTTTAGGTAGTATGGACATTTTAACTATGTTTATTCTTCCAATCCATGTGCATGGAATGTCTTTCCATCTCTTTATGTCATCATCAATTTCTTTCAAGAAAGTCTTGTAGTTTTCATTGTATAGATCCTTCACTTCCTTGGTTAAGTTTATCCCAAGGTATTTTATTCTTTTCATTGCGATTGTGAATGGGATTGAGTTCTTGAGTTCTTTTTCTGTTGGTTCATTGTTAGTGTATAGAAATGCTACTGATTTATGTATGTTGATTTTATACTTATGGGATCCTATTTTTATCCCTGGCATTCTGAAATTTCATGATGTCCTCACTGCCTTTGTGATTTTAGTTTCATCCATTGTTCTGGCAACTTGTGTGCTGCTTCAATCTTAGAAGCACTTTTTAGTTCCGGGGACATTTTCTTGTATTATTTCTTTGATAATTTCCAACTCCCTGTTTTCTGTTCTCACTAGAACTGAACTTTGAATTAGATGTTGGGCTTCCTCCAGTTTTCTTATCTTTTCACTGTCATTTGTCGTTTTGTTCTGGGGAAATTTCCTTTTTGTTCTTGAGACCTGTCCTTGACTTTATCCTTGCTGTGGAATATTTCATTTCAGCTATCACATGTTAATTTCCAATAGCTGGTTCTTGCTCTCTGAATGCTCATTTTTATCTATCCTAATTTTGTATAATCCTGGCTGCCTGCTGTTCTGAGAACCGAGGGAGGGAATGGGGTTGGAGGTTCTCTCCATCCGGAATGCCAGCTTTTACTGAATCCCCCTGTTGTCCATGTACTAGCCTACCCCTGCTGCCAGCTGAGCTTGGTATCTCTAGTTCAACTTCTTCAGGCTCTCAGCCGGTCCTCTAGTTTTCAACCCTCAATTTCTCACATTGCTATAGTAATGGAAGATCCTCCATTTTGTTGAAAATCATAGTCTTAACTTGAAAAAAAAATCGTGATATTGCCTTATAGCATTACTGAGAGGGCAAGTCTTGTATGAGTCACTTTGAAAAAATGTGGTCCCACAGTTCTGGAAGACATTTTGCTCTCCAGTGGGAAGTGCCCTCTGGTGGTGCATACTTGTAACACATTTCTACCCTCCAGTAGCCTGATAAAGTATTACTTCACCATACAGACAACTCTCTCTTATAGATGTATCTGCCGATGTCATCTGACAGGGGCACATATTTAAATGAAAATTATAATTTCAACCCTTTGTCCCTTAGTGAAAATAAGGAAAAGAAACAAACACAGACTTTACTTCTTTTTGCCCCCTGGTGTCTGCCCAGGGGTAGGCACTCAACAGAGAGTGTCAGCTGTTGTACTGACTACTCCTCATTCCTGGTTCCAGAGGACACATGTGGCTCAGCGGATGACTGGGCCTTGGAGTCTGATTGCTTGGGTTTGCCATTTCCACCACCTACTCAACTCCTCTAAGCCTCAGTCTGTCAACCTGCAAAGTGAGAATGATGGTACCTACATGATGTTGATGAGAGGATTAGATGAGATAATGCCCATGAAGCACCAGACACATGGTACAGGTGCGGGAAATGTTTGTTTTGTTGCTACCATTGCTATTGTTACTATTTCTAAATTTCCCATTTCTCCCCCACGGGCCTGCCCAGTGGTCCACTACGAGGTTGAGATCTGGACGGGGGATGTGGGCGGCGCAGGCACCACTGCCAGAGTCTACATGCAGATCTATGGTGAGGAAGGCAAGACAGAAGTGCTCTTCCTCTCCAGCCGCTCAAAAGTTTTTGACCGGGCCTCCAAGGACACGTTCCAGGTGTGTGTGGGTGAAACAGTGGGGGTGCCAACAGAGGGCCCAGTGGAAGCCTGAAAATGAGGGATCGGACTAGATCAGTGGTTCTCATCCCTGGCTTCTCATTAGAATTGCCTGGGGAGCTTTATGAAAAAGTGCTGCCTGGTCCATACCTGGATCAGTTAAACCAGAACCTCTATGGTGGGATGTGTTTTCAGGTATGCTTCTAAAAGCTCTACCAGTGAGCTAATATGCTGCCAATTCTGAGAACTGCTGGAGTAGATGATCCTAATTTAGCAAGATAAGGTTCCGCCCTAGGCCCCTGGTTACCACATCCACTCCCAGCCTTGCGGTCTCTGATTCTACAGATCCCTTGGCCCAAGGGCAGGGCTGTGCTTTCCAGGCAGGATACAGGGGGGCTTGGGGGTCTCCGGGCTGTGTGCTGAGTGCTCCACACTTCCCTGTGAGCAGAGGAGAAAAAGAGATGAGAATGTGAGCATGTTGTTGGTGGGAGAGCAGGATGCAAAGGTGATGCCCCTTGCGGGACACATGAATGTTCTCTAAGGGACAGTCAAGTACGTGTGTGTGTGTGCATGTGTGTCTGAAGATATGTGTGTGCCAGGAGAATGTTCAGGCTGGGTGCTGTGTGTGTGTTTGTGTGTCACAAGCAGCTTGGCCCTCAGCAAAGAGTTGTAAGCCAGTGCTCTCAGAGAAGATCCTCAGAGTAGGGCTGGGATCACAGGGCTATGGAACATTAGCACTGTGGGGGGTCTCACTGAGTCCAGCTCCCTCATGACTGCTAGGGAGGCAGAGGCCCTAGCATTTCACCTCTCTGCCTCGGCTTCTGTATCAGTTCAAGTGTAGCTTTATAGTACCTGCCAGGCCTACTTCACCGTCCCTGGAAGGATCAAAATAGTCAATGTCAGGGAAAGTACTTAGGAAATTGTGAGTAGTCAAGGAACATGCAACAGAGGAGGGCATCTTCTCGATGCCAACCGACTGCATGGCTAGATGTGGTGGTGGATGCTGGGTAGACAGATGGGGGGAAAGGGGACAGCAAGCGGGCCTCCCTGGAGAGGTTGATGGCAGGGATGCTGTGACCTGGAAAATGCTGGAGAGGAGATCTAAATGTGCTGAAGTAGGGACTTCCCAGATCCAGAGCATATCCCCTAAGTAGCTGAGAAGAATAAATTCCCCTTTCCTGGGGGTCCTGGGCTCCACTTTGGCTGATAATTTTCTCACAAAGGTGGTTTTTGGCTGCATCGTAGCTTCATGACCAGAGTCAGAAGACCTGAGTTCTTGTCTAGGTCTGGACTCCAATGATGGGCCAGTGAGCATCTTGTGGGACAGCCTTGGGCCTCAGTTTCCCTGTCACACAAGTGGGAGAAATGGTGGGACTGGTGTTGAGATGTGTCAAACACCCAGAAAGGGCCCATCAGCACGAGGAAGCCCTAAGAGTGGCCCGACCAGCAGGGACCCCACTCGAGCCCTCCCCTGAGCTCTGCACCTCACTGTGAGGCTCAGAATAGAGGAATAGACCAAAGGCCGAGGACTTGATCCTCTGAAGAAAAGCTAAACCCACGAACTTGAGGCAGCCGTGTGCTAGGTCCATGAGGGGGAGACACGAGCATGATTGATCCCTGCCCTTAGGAATTCCCATGTGAGTAGGGCAGAGATGAGCTCATGAGGACAAAGAGGGCGTTCAGGACAGGCCAGGACCACGGCTAAGCTCTGGGCTCCTCGGAGCTCTCGGGAAGGAAGGAGGCCATGTGCTGGGGGAGAGGTCTGGGGGCATGAGAGAGATTTCTGTTTTGGAAAAATAATACTATTTTTTGGTTTATTACAAAAACGATGTGTGATTAATGCTGAAAAAATTTCGGAAAGAGAACACAGAAAAGCACAACCTAAAAAAAAAATCCTAATAATAAAGCTGAGGAATCTGAATGAATAGGTTTTAGTTAGCGGCAGAGGAGGGATAAAGGCATTCTTGGCGAGGGAACTGCATGAACAAAGATGTGGAAACAGGAGTAATAGGAATGAGTGTGATGCGTGTGTGCGTGTGTGCGTGTGTGTGTGAGAGAGAAACAGGAAGACCAGCTTGACCATCACAGAGGTTTAGATGGAAATAAGTTTGGGTGGAGGGAGGTACCAGCAAGAGTTCCTGGAACACCAGCCGAGAAACCGGACTGGGTGTGTAGGAGAGAGGGAGCCGGTGGGAGCGTCCGAGCTTGGGAGCCCCGAGCCTCTCCATCCTGCAGCCCCGTGCCTGGTCCCGCAGGGGAGGCAGGGAGGACACTGAGGGCTGCCCCAGCCACTGCCCTGTGATTTGCACAGCTGGAGGCGGCAGATGTGGGTGAGATCTTCAAGATCCGGCTTGGGCACACGGGCGAAGGCTTCGGGCCCAGCTGGTTCGTGGACACGGTGTGGCTGCGGCACCTGGTGGTGCGGGAGGTGGACCTCACACCGGAGGAGGAGGCTCGGAGGAAGAAGGAGAAAGACAAACTGCGGCAGCTGCTCAAGAAGGAGCGGCTGAAGGCCAAGCTGCAGAGGAAGAAGAAGAAGAAGAAGAAAGGCAGTGATGAGGAGGATGAAGGGGAGGAGGAGGAGGAGTCCTCTTCGGAAGAGTCCTCGTCCGAAGAGGAGGAGGAGGAAACGGACGAGGAGGAGGAGGAAGAGGAGGAGTTCGGGCCGGGGATGCAGGAGGTGATTGAGGAGTACAAGTTCGAAGCCCACCGCTGGCTGGCCCGGGGCAAGGAGGACAATGAACTTGTTGTGGAGCTGGTGCCGGCCGGCCGGTCGGGTCCTGAGCGTAAGCCTGAGGAGGGGTCGGACAGTCCCCTGAGGGGGCTCAGTGAATGGGGAGGGTGCCCAGCTCTCCTCTCATGTGGAGGCCCCATAGGTGGGCACCCATCATGGTTCCCAGATAGCTCTCCTGACCTGTGTCTGAAATGCCACCATGGATAGTTCTCTTGGTTTAGCATTGCCCTTGTCCTGAGGCTCTTGGGAGGAACTGACGACCTTAGGAGGAGCTCTGATAAAACTCACTATAACTCAACATTGGGGATATAAGGTAGGAGGGTTCCTGAGGGTGAATTTTGCCATGACTCTCAGCCTCTTGGCTTCATGGAAAAGGAAAGTCTTGGGTAGGGAGGAGGGTTCAGTTCCGGTTAGGATAGATGTGGATGTGTTCATAGGTCCTTCCTGCTCCCACAGTCTGGTTGGATCTGAGAGGCTGAGCCTCAGGTCCACCCCAAGGCCCAGGTGTCCTCAATGCCGCATCTTTCTGTGTCCCCAGCCAACACCTATGAGGTCCAAGTGATCACAGGGAACATGCCCAAGGCCGGCACTGATGCCAATGTCTACCTGACCATCTATGGCGAGGAGTACGGGGACACGGGCGAGCGGCCTCTGAAGAAGTCGGACAAGTCCAACAAGTTTGAGCAGGGGCAGGTAGAGTGCGGGCTCTGGCCCTTGGGTGGGTGGTGGGCAGTCAGATGGAGGACAGGAAGCCTCTGGTGATCTCCAGGGCAGCCCCACCCAGCCCAGCATCTTCTGTGTGTCCCGCAGTGTGCTTTGTCCAATTCCATCAGGTATAATGGAAGTATCTTCTCTGTAAGCACCAGCAATTTGTTGCGAGCATATAAGGAAGGCACAGGTCGGGCTCCAGCACTGTGGAGCCCACAGGAACTAACCAGAGACAGTATCATAGTATTGGTAGCAGACGCTCAGGTGCTGAGTGGAGCAGAGGTTCAAGGAGGAAGTGCTCACCATAAGATGGCGCTTTGGGGAAAACTTGGGGAGGAAAGATGTAACCTGCGCCTTGGCGGATGAGTATGGTATAGATGTCTAAAGATGACAGTGAGAAGTGTTTGCTGAAGACAGGACCACTTGACAAAGATGTGGAGGTGGAGATGTGGAAGGACGTTCAAGGACAGGGAGTCTTCCTGCTGCACTGTGGTTAATGCTGAGCCGTGGTGGGTGCTGCCTCTGGGAAGCTTGATGAGACCAGTTTAGGGGATGGGGAGGCATGAGAGCCTTGAAAGATAGGCTGAGAAGCACCCTGAGGCAGTGGGAACCACGAAGGCTTTCGAGCATTCAAAGAAATGCACTCATCTCCCTCTTCTGGGTGTGGTGCGAAAAGCACGGAAAATACAGCTGTCCCCTCTGTCCTTTGAGATTTTACATAGCCTCTCGCCAGAAGACTTCCCCTATCTCACCTTTCGCATTCCTGCCCCCATCCCAAAGCCAGGTTCCCTCATCAACACAGAGGAAGAAAAGAAATAAACTAAATCCATTAAAATACTTCTGGGCTTGTGGCTTGGTTTATTTCAGAGGCCTCCTGCTTTTTCTTTCGACACTCCCTTCCCATGACTCGAGGATCAGGGTTTATTTCTGTGTTTCAGTACTTTCCTTTAAAATTTATAGCCACTATGATCCTGGATTGGAAGAAAATTGCTATAGAGGAGAGAACTGGTACAATTGATGAAATTTGAATATGGACTCTATGTTAGATAATAATATTGTGTCAATGTCAACTTTCCTGAATTTGGTAATGATACTGTAATTATATGAGATGTGCCTATTGGTAGGAAATCTATGCTATAGAATTTAGGGGTGAAGGATCATGGTGTCTGCTATTTACTTTCAAATGATTCAGAAAAAAATAGAGAAAGAGCAAGAAAGAGCAAGGTGGAGGGGACGCAAATGTGGAAAATATGTGGAGAATCTACGCATTGGCTCATGGCAGGTTGTGGGTGAAGGAGATTATGCACACGCAGCACAGGGTCTCAGCAGACACCCAAGCATTAGGCTGTACACACACACATACATACACACCACACAACACAAATGTGGGCATCCAGCCAACTTGTCTTCTCTGACCCTCTCTCTTGGTCACCTTGGCCCTCCCAGTCCACCCCCCCTTCACAGTGAGAGTGAGAAGACCCCCTAGCTTAGACCAAACACCAGACAACTGACTGCATTTCCCATTCTGCCCACACACCCCCACCCTGACCTTGATAGTTTGGGTCTTACACTTGCTGGCTTCAGGGAGGGTGAAGCTGATGGCGAGCTGGGGAGGGCTGCCATCCCTCTGAGTGCTACCCTGGTCCTTCCTAGACAGATACCTTCACCATCTACGCCATTGACCTGGGGGCCCTGACCAAGATTCGGATTCGCCATGACAACTCGGGCAACAGACCAGGCTGGTTCCTGGATAGGATAGACATCACCGACATGAACAACGAGATCACGTGAGTGCAGCTGGATGGGAGGGAGGGAAGGCCATGCCTACCGCTAAGATAGTCCTGGAAAGAGGGCTGAGGTGGGGGTGGCTGTGATGTCTGCCATGGTCAGAGTGGGTTTGGCCCATGTAGGTGGCTGGGTGGGCATTGCTCACCTCCCTTCTCCCTCATTGGGAAGCTCCCTGGAGCCACTTGCCCTGTCAGGTGACAGTCTGGTAAAAACGTCCAATCCAGTCACCGAGGTCGGGCAATTCAGAAAGTCGGGTTTTCCGTCCCTGCCAGACCTTCACTGACCCAGTCTCCATGTCTAGACTGTCACCCATGAGTCTTTCCATGTGTAAAGCGACTTCCAGTACATTGTTTCAATGTTCTAGACCAGGGGTAGGCAAACCTTTTCCATAAAGGCCATATAGGAAATATTTGTGGCTTTGGAGGCCATTTGGTCTCTGTCTTGACTACTCTACTTTGCCTTTGCAGCAGGAAAGCAGCCACAGGTGATATCTAAATGAATGGATGTGGCTGTGTTCCAACAAAACGTTATTTATGGACGCTGAAACTTGAATTTCATGTAACTTTCACAGGTCACAGAATATTATTATTCTTTAGATTTTTTTCAGCCATTTAAAAATGTAAAATCCATGCGTAGCTTGTGGGATGTACATAAGCAGGTGGTGGGTCAGTTTTGCTGGCCCCTCCTCGAGATTCACAGCGACCATCGTGAGCTAGGTGGGGAAATGGGTATTGCCCTCCTGACAGCTGGAGGAACCACGCCCCTGGGAGGTGAAGCCGCAGCCCCAGAGCCAAACTGTGCCAGAGCCAGACCCAGACCCAGAACCCCAGACCATCAATGATAAATCTGATGTGTTTCCACCATGAGACCACATTGCCTCTTGGGCAAAAGGAGCCAAAGGAGAGTAGACATGAAAGAAGGCCCTGAGATATGGTGGGGAGGGGCCAAAGGAGGCAGAGAGGGAAGCAGGCAAGATCCTGAGTAGGTCGCGCAGCTGCTGAGGGCCTGCCAGTGCCTGGAATGTGGTGAGCACCCAGCAAATAAATATTGGTTAATCAGACAAGTTCTTGGCCTGCAGCCTGGTGTCTCTTGGAGCATGCCCCCTTCTTGGGGGCTCACCCCGTCTCCCACCTCCACCCTGCCCCACCAACCCAAAAGATTGCTCCAGATGGGGAGACTGAGGCACAGCTCACACACAGCCTGATGTCATGGATTTCCGTGAGGTCATTGTGACGGCGTACCCCATGGCTGGAACCAGGGTCCTGACCTGGGGTAGATCCGCTGCTAAAAATTCACCAGGACGCCCTGCACAAGTTGCTCCACCTTCATGAGCTTTCATTTGCTCTTCTGATAAATGGGCTTAATGATGCCTGACCAACTTACTTCTCTCAAGGTGCTCTGAGAATCTAAGGCATTTAAGCTTGAAAAGGATAAAATACTGCAAAAAACGTGAGGACAACCACACACTGTGAACATTCCTAGCTTCCCCTTGCAGCTCGGTTAGGGTCAGTTAACTCCGTTCCATCGATTTGGCATTTCTGGGCCAGCCCAACAATTTTTAAATTATTGTAGCTTTATAATCTATTTTAATATCTGTCAGTACTTGTCCTCTTTCATTATTCTTTAAAAATATTAGCTATTCTTACCTTTGCAACTCAAGACATTAAGTGATTTAAAAAAATATCTTATTGGAATGTTGATTGTTATGCCATTAAATGTATGCGTGGAGAATTGCATGTTTAGAACATTAAGTGCTACCCTCTAGGTACATATTTCCATTTATCCAAGTGTTCCTTTAGTAATGTTTACAATTTTCTACACATTGCTGCTACACATTCTTGTTAAGTTTATGCCCAAGTATTTTTTATTTTTATTACTCTTGTGAATGGAATCTTCTAGTTACTCGTCTCTCTTCTTCCACTCCCTTTCCCTTTTTCCTTCCTTCCTCCACTCCTTGCTCCCTCACCTCCTCCTCTTCCTTTCTTTTGGTGTTGTGCATTTACACGTCTTTGTTGAAGCAGCAGTTAAGGGCTCTGTGATGAGCTGGCTCCAACCATTTACAAGCCGAGAGTGACTCTGAGCGAAACCTGCTCCGGGAGATAGGCAAAATTACAGACGTTCAGAGGAAACAATCAGAGTAGTGAATCTCCTCTCTCTCTCTCTTTCTCTGTCTGAGAGATGCCACCTTCCCAACAGTGCTTGGGCCCTTCCAGAACCTTTATTAGCTCAGGAATAAGGCCTTGGCAGCCAAAAGGATAAGCGAACTCGGACTTCTCCCTGGACTGCCCTGGCCCAGTCACCTGCCTCGAGCAAGCTGGACGTCCTCGACTCCTCTCTGCCTCTCATGCTCCACTCCTAATCCACTGGCTGGTTCTTTTTTCAGGAAAGCGAGTCAGACTCTGTCTCCCCATCTTCCCCAGCCCCTGGTCAAAGCCTCCTCACTGATCCCTCTGCTTCACCCGGGCCCTCCTACTGTCTACAGCAGTCCACACCTCAAGGTGGTGTCCCTCCTCTGCTCAACAACCTGCAAAGGCTCCAGTTTCACTCAGAGTAAAGCCAGAGCACTTCCAGTGGCCTGCCCCCCGCCCCTTCCTTATCGCTTACTCCTGGTCTCCCTCTTGCTCACTCCATGCTATTCCTTGAACCCAACAGACATGGTCCCACCTCAAGGCCTTTGCATCTGCTGTTCCCTCTCCCTGGCACTTCCTCCCCCAACGGTTCATGTTTCCTCCAGGTAGGTCTCTGCTCAGGCTTCTGTGGCCTTGGGAAAGTTACTTTACCTATCCAAGTCACTTGAGAACATATCCAAGCTCGTGACTGGCTGGATTTCATGGGAAGGACTTCCGGAGGCTGAGAGGCAAGACAGAGAGAAGGAGAGAGGAAGACAGAGGGAAGGAGTAGGGAGATTCCAGCAGGGGTCAGGCACCTATGGGAGATGCTGTCCTGAGAAGATGGGCTTGGGAGAGCATGTGACACCCTGGAGGCCCTGCCACCCACTTTAAGGTCACCCAGGGAGCGCTTAGAGTGGTCCAGGAGCTATGATGTCTGGAGATGGATAGCACTCTCAGCAGGACCACTCCCAGCCCTTGTGGCCTCCAAGACTGCTCTGTAGAGCAGCCAAGCCTGAGCTGTAAACACCAGGAGAAGGGGATGAGGGGTGGGAAGGCGGCACAGAAGGTTTATTGATCTGCAATTTAATCACCAAGAAAGAGAATACTTTTTTTTCAAGTAGAGAGTACTTGGGGTCCTTTACAGGAGTCCCAAACTGGCAGGAGGTGATCAAGATGATGCAGAAAAGCCTTTTTAATGGTGGTTTGCAGTTTATCCTGCCTCCTCTAGCCTGAGAGGACCACCCCTTGGCCACTCTGAAAAGATGACAGTTTAAAAAATTGTCAGATAGATTTTCATGTTGACAGATACATCATGTTTAGAATGAGGAGATGCTGGTCCTCTCTGCTCTCCTCTGCTCTGCTCAGACAATTCCTGGTTTGGCTTTAGTCTCCACATTCTAGGGGGAATGTTAGGGGCAAAAAAGTGCATCTTCAATAAGGAATGATGGCTCGTTAAGAAGCGTAGGTGTTATTGTAGGAATTTTGAAGGAGGAAATGAGGATGTTTCACCTGGAGAGGAGACAACGCCTTTCAATTCTGTTGATATTTATGGATACCTATGTATGCCAGGGACTGTGGACATAGCAATGAGCAAGGAGACCCTGAGCTCATGGGCTTATGGTTTGCCTGGCAGGGGAGACAGATAATTAAATATACACTTCCTGGGCAACTTCTTCCACTTTCATCACTTCAGTGACCATTTATTTGAGAATATTTGCCATATTGATGTCTCAAGTTGTATCTGTCAGAATAGGCTAGGTTCTGCTAAGTAACAAACAGCCCTACAAAGTCAGTGGCCTAACACAACAGAAGCTTATTTCTTGCTCATACTACACGTCCAATGCTGGGCATCAGGGGACTTTGCTCAATATGATCACTCAGGAACCCAGAGTGATGGAGGCTTTTCATCAATGGATGCTTCCATGGTCATCCTTGTATTGGAAAGAGATGTGACTGGCCATGCACTTGCTCTTAAAGATCCCTTATAGCCAAGAGATTCTAAATACATCATCAAGGGACTTAAAAACTCTACGTCCTTCAATAACCAAAACTCTAAGCCTCTAATGTTGGGGTTTCAGAACACATGGCAGAAATGGTGGGATATTTGGGGGTATACGGTCTGGAATTAGTACATCTTTGTTGAGTCATCTGCTCATTGGCTCTGCTGCTTTCTCACCCCTTCCACATCCATTGACTTGTTGATTAAATGAGGCTTTGCCCCGTCTTCCTTTCTCTTTTAATACTCTAGCTGCATTTCTGATCTGCAATATAATAGAATGCTCTCACTTTCAAAGAGAAAGAGGCAAATGCCACACAAGTTAGGAATGTATTTGGCATCCTGAGGTCTGTCCACATTCAGTCTGACACTCTATGCTTTCTCCACCTCTGTTCTCAGCCCCAAGACATAGATTCCTGCTCTGACTGATGGCTTGTGGGGGGGGGGGGTCCCCTAAGATCCAGAATCATTGAAGACAGATGCTATCCTTGAATTCCATTACATTGGGCAAACATGTTACGTGGGCCTTCCAGGGAGGGTTGAACAAAAACATTATCAGAACTTTCCCCCTTAAGTTTCACCCAGCAAGGAGTTCTCTGGAACCCCTCACTCCTCCAGGGATCTTGGGGGTCACAGAACGTTGAGACAGAAAAAACCTTACAGATGACTTTACCCAGCCTTCTTGGTGAGGAGACTTGGGGCCTAGGGGCCACGCAGCACTTTAGGGGAAGAGTAGGGACACAAACCCAAAGTTCCTGAGTTCCAGACCCGTGCTGTTGCTGCCACACACTCTACCAGCATCACCAGGTGACTTAGACCTGATGTGGTCCAGCCTTTAGTCCATGCACAAAGTGGGAAAGTCCGTTCAAAACTAAGTACAGTTTACAACATCCAATTTTGCAGTCTGCTCATTCAATTCTTACTTCCAAGTGAAACGTGTACTTGTAGCAGTCCCAAGCTTTGTTTCAACGTTCCCTTTAAACCTCCAGCTCCCCCAAGTCCTGGCTCCTTCCTCCCATTGCCCCTGTTTAAGCAGAGGGGCAAACACATCTGGTCAGAACAACTGCACGCCTCTCTCCTCCTTTGCTCCTTAAATATTCCTGCCTACTCCCCTGCCCAGGACCCTGAGACCTGCTTGAGCAGGATTTCTTTCTGTGGGATGAAGAGGCAGGGGTCAGTAGCCCAACCTTCTGTGAGTGCCTCTTGGCGCCTCGAGGACCGAGGCTAGCGCCCAGCACTCAGACCAGTCCTGGCGCCCGCTCTGGTTCTCCCCAGCAGGGAGCTGGATGCGCGCATGCCGCAGCTGTGTGCGAGCTGATGGACTTCAATGTCGCAGTTCTGGAATCTCAGGGACAGAGAGGCTGGCGCTCCAGGAAAGCCTGCCCGATTCCCTGCGCGCATGCGCTCTTCGCGGGCGTGAGAGGGCTTGCGGCTCCCCCTTTTTGTCTTTCTGGCTGTTTCTGTGCCCCGATGTAAGTCTCCGTGGATCTTTCTTCGTGCGTCTCTCTCCCTCTGTCCTTGTTCTCCGACTTCCCACACACTCATTGTCTCTGCCTCTGCCTCAACCCTACTCCTTTATTTCTGTCTCTTTCCCTTAATTGGCCATAATTTAGAGCTAAAGCCTATTATTCATAAGTTATTTGGTTGAATAAAAGTTTAACTTTCCCATTCATACATTTAAAGGCTGAGAAGTAGAACAATGTTCATTTTTCATTTAAACACTAATTTATTCACAATTTAGTCCATGTTGTCCTAGGTTGAGTTCCTCTCACCCTTTAGGTCCACGTCCTGCAGTAAAAAATTGCCAGCTCCGCACCCCGTCCGAGCCCACGGGCTGAGGTAGCGCTCTCTGGTTCTGCTCCTCTAACATGTCGACCTTGGGAGTCACTGAGGACTGCAGGAGAATGTGGGGCTCAGACAGAGAAGAGACCCTCAGGCTACACTGCTCCCACCTCCGGACTTTGACCAGTCCCTGAATGCATCTTATGCATCTGGACAGCCATAGGGGAGGGGCACACACCGGGTGGAATGCCCCGGTTTAGAGATGGGCTGTGGTCTCAGACTCTCTGAGTTGTTCTGGGAGCTTGGGGTCCAAGGGGAATAGTCCAGCCCACAGCCTACGGAGTTCCCAGGCATGCGCTGAGGAGAAAGAACGGGAAATACAGATAGTAATAGCAACAATAGAGTCAGCAAATTCTTACTGAGAGCCAGGCATTTTTATAAGCACTTTAAATGTTTAACTAATGTAACTTTTACAACAACCTATAAAACAGGCAATATTATCCTCACTTTACAGAACAGTAAACTGAAGTACAGAATAGGGTTGCCAGATAAAACATAGCCAATTAAATTTGAATTTCAGATAAGCAACAAATAACGTTTTAGTATAAATATATCCCAAATACTGGAGAGGCCACACTTACACTAAAGCAGTATTCATTGCTTATCTAATATTAAATTTAACTGGAAGACCTGTGATTTTATTGGCTAAATCTGGCAATGCGAACTCAGAGAGGTAAAGAAATTTATTCAAGGTTGCATGACTATGCTAAGTGGGAGAGCCAGGAGTCACTTGGATCTCCCTTCCCTCGATGGCCCCGGCTGTCTCCTGTGCAGCCCACTTAGTCACACTCTTTGTACCTTCCAGAAACTTGACGTTAAAATCCATTAGTTCCACACTTAGGTATTGAACACCTACAACACTCTTTGTTAAAGTAGATCTGGCTGACAGATTAATGCCAGAAAAGACTAGAACAGTCCCCAGACGCCCCTCTTCTTCCAGACACCTCCAGTATGACCCTGATTGAGGGTCTGATATGCTCCAGACACCACCACGTAGCCATTTTCAGTGGGCTATCTGAAGACCATGTCCCCCTGTTTGTTGTCTCCTCTAGGAAAGGGACTCTCGTGGGGTGATGCCCAGGCTGGGTAGAATCGGAGGGCAATGCTATGAGGGCCGGGGCTTGGGCAGGGGAGGGTTTGAGCCCCACCAGGGCCTCTCATTTCATGGCCCATGACTGCTCCTTCATGAGACCGTCCCAAGGAGACATTTCCACCTTTCCTCATTCCCACAGGTACTACTTTCCGTGCCAACGCTGGCTGGCGGTGGAGGAGGATGATGGCCAGCTATCCAGGGAGCTGTTGCCAGTGGATGAGTCCTATGTGCTGCCACCGAGCGAGGACGAGGAGGGTGGGGGAGGTGGTGACAGCAACCCCCTCGACAGCCTGGCCCTGGAGCAGAAAGGTTTCCTAAACTAAGGGCTGATTTCTTCCTTCCAGTGTTCCCCCCTCTGCCTCTCCCCCATCCTAGGCCTCCACCTTCACGCCCTCCTCCGTGAGCTCTGGGCGCTTCCTCCTCTGGCATTCTATCTATACTGCTGTCTCATTCCTCCATGGCAAGAATGGGGAGGTGAGGGGGCATATTCCCACAGGTCTAGCATAGACTGGGTATAAAGTACATGGCTTAGCATGGAGTTGTTGTCTGGAATGGAATGGAATGGAATAAAGTAGAATAGAATAGAATAGAATAGAATAGAATAGAATAGAATAGAATAGAATAGAATAGAATAGTTGTAGCTGGTTCTGACTTAGTCTTGTATCCTCCCCTCCAGGCACATTATCTGCTCTTAATACTTTTTTTTTTTGCTGAGGAAGCTCATTCGCCCTGAGCTAACATCTGTTGCCAGTCCTCCTCCTTTTTTGCTTGAGGAAGATTGTCCCTGAGCTAACATCTGTGCGAATCTTCCTCTATATTGTATGTGGGACACCACCACAGTGTGGCTGGTGAGTGGAGTAGGTCTGTGCCTGGGATCCAAACCTGCAAACCTGGGCTGCTGCAGCAGAGCACTCAGAACTTTAACCACTTGGCCATGGGGCTGGGCCCTCTTTTTGTCAAGGGAAAGAATGAACTTTCGAGTTCTATGATGCTTGTGCTCCCTTCCTGGAAACGCACCTCCCTAAAACTCTTCCCAACCTGGAAGAGTCAGATCAGGGCTCCTGGAGGAGCCTCTGACCCGCACAGTCACCCCTAGTCCCCCCTAAGCATCCTATAACTTTATTGATTGAGGACTTCCTGTGTGAGCTGGAGATGGGGGAGACCTCATCTCTGCCTTCAGAAAGTTTCCAGACTAAAGGCAACTGCACAACAACCCATGCTGCAAGTAAAGCGAATCACAGAAATGGTCAACATGAACATAGACACGTGCTCTGTATGGTTGTTCTATCCTCCGTTCACGGGAGGAGCAATCTACCACTTACTTCGCCCCAATCCTCTTCTGGCAGATAAATCTACCACATTCTCGGTGACCATAAAGACCGGGGACAAGAAGAATGCGGGCACAGATGCCAACGTCTTCATCACGCTCTTTGGCACGCAAGATGACACTGGTAAGAAAGCAAGGCAGGGCGTGGTTCACCCACATTCCTCCCCAGGGAGCCTGGGAGATTCTCCAGAACTTTCCAAGGAAATCCTGGTCATGCATCTAGCTCTCTCTTTTCTAAAAAATCATTTTTAAGAATTCCCCTTTATTGTTTTATTTTGTTGTGGGAAGAACATTTAATATGTGATCTGTCCTCTTAACAAGTTTTAATATGTTAATACATTCACTACATTATTGTTGACTATAGGTACGTGTTGTACAACAGACCTCTAGAGCTTATTAATCTTACTAAACTGAAACTTCATACCTGTTGGTTAATGACTCCCCATTTCCTCCTCTCCCCGGCTCCTGGTAACCACCAATCCAGTTACTGATTTTAAAAATTTGACTATTTTGGATCGCTCATATAAGTGGAATCATGCTGTACTCGTCTTTCTGTGACTGGCTTATTTCACTAAGTGTAATGTCCTCAAGGACCATCTAGATTTTTGCATATTGGAGAATTTCCTTCTTTTTAAGGCTGAATAGTATTCCATTGTGTATATATACTACTTTTTAAAAATCCCTTTTTCTGTCAACGGAGATTTAGGTTTTTTCCACCTCTTGGCTATTGTGAATAGTGCTGCAATGAACATGGGAGTGCTGATGTCTTTTCAAATCCTGATTTCAGTTATTTGGATATGTACCCAGAAGTGGGGTTGCTGGGTCATATGGTAGTTCTATTTTTAATTTTCTGAGGAACTTTCATACTGTTTTCCATAGCAGCTGCACTATTTTGCATTCCCACCAACTATGTCCATGGGTTCCAGTTTCTCCACATCCTCACAAACACTTAGCTTTTGTTTTTCTGATAGTAACCATCTTGACAGGCATAAGGTGATAACTCATTGTGGTTTTAATTGTCATTTCCCTGATAATTAGTAACAAATAGTATTTTGGGGGGGCTATTTGTATGTTTTCTTTTGAGAAATGTGTATTTAAATCTTCAGTCCGTTTTTAATTGGCTTATTCATTCTTTTGTTATTGGGTTGTTGGAGTTCTTTATATATTTTGAATATTAACCCCTTATCAGATATATGGTTTACAAATATTTTCTCCCATTCCGTATGCTGCCTTTTCACTCTGTTGATTGTTTCCTTTGCTGTGGAGAAACTTTTTAGTTTGATGTAGTCCCACTTGCTTGTTTTAGTTTTTGTTGCCTGTGCTGTTGGTGTCATGCCTGTGAAATCATTGCCAAGACCAGTGTCATGAAGCTTTTCCTCTATGTTTTCTTCTAGGAGTTTTGCAGTGTCAGGTCTTCCATTTAAGTCCGTAATCCATCTTGAGTTGAGTTTTGTATATGGTGTAAGATAAGGGTCCAAATTAATTCTTTTCCATGTGGCTATCCAGTTTTCCCAGCACCACTTATTGAGGAGACTATCCTTTCTCCATCCTTGTATATTCTTGTACGCTTCTGACTCTTGATAGATTGCATGCAACTGGCGCCATCAGAGAAAGGCAGTTCCTTTCTTTCTTAAAAATCTCCACATAAGATGACTTTTCTACCTAGATTGTGAGTGCTGGCTGCTTTAGAAATTCTTCCTAAGTCTTATTAGGTCGGTCCTTCTGCACTCCAGGGGGCAAAGAGCCCCTGCCTCTCTCCTGTCCTCGTTGCTGGCTCTCCCACGGAGAAGGGTTTGGAAGCCATATGACTCACCTCCCCTTCAGGATCCTCTCCCCAGGTACTGGTGCCCGATCTCGTGGGTGGTCAGTCTTTTCCCATGTCTTTCTGAAAGTTTTCACCGTTTCCGGTGCCTTTCCTGGAACCATCTCTCTGTTTGTCTTTCAAAACCATAACGAAGGGGCTCCCTAGTCCAGTGAGTGGTCTCCTCTCTTTGTCTGCTGCCAGCTTTCTCCTTCTGTTCTAATGGCAGAGGTAGCCCTAACTCTATCTCTACCTTAATAACAACCTGGGAAAACATGGCTCCTCCAAGCCTCCAATGAGATTCAGGCAATGGGTCCCACGGTACCCTCAGTATGAGATGCTCAAAGAGTCTTGGAGTCATTCTGGCATCTCTGCCAAGGTACTCAGAGAAGGTGGCATTTAGTGCTGGGGTCAGCCATCTACTTGGGCCACCTGTCCAGCCATTCTGTTTGAGTTCAGAGAGGAGCCAGTTCCTCAAGTAGTCATCATGTCTTTACTCAAAACCCTGTGGTTTCAGAGCTCTGTGCCAAGCATTCTTGAAGAATGAAGGGATCTAATTCCTGACTTTAAGGTGCTCATACTCTAATACAGTGGTGTGGTGGTAGAGCATGGACTCAAGCTTGACTGATTGGTTTAAATTTCTGCTGTAACACTTATTAGCTGTGTGACCTTGGGTAGGTTGCTTAACCGCTCTGTGTCTTAGTTTCTCTCATTTGTGAAATGGAGATTAAATGAGTATGTGCCTCATAGAATTGTGGATTTAATGAAATTGAACATGTAAAATATCTGAGACAAAATGACACTCAATAAACATTAATTACTATTTAATAGGTTAGATCATGCAAATAATGTATAATGAGTGAATTAGGTCATAACTTATAAATGTATGTCATTATGATAGTTACTGAATCACCATCAATGGGATTGAGGGGCCCTAACAACTGCTTTTATTTGCCAAAGATTTCTAGGTGTTAGGCACATTCTTGAGCACTCAACAGTCTTCATCTTCTTAAATTCTCACAACTCTATGGGGAAGGCACCAAACCATGCTTTTTGACATTTGAGGAAACCAAGTCTCAGAAAATTACTTAACTTGCCCAAGGCCACCCAGGCGGCAAGTGAGCCAAGCGAACAGATGTTGAACCAAGGTCTGTCTGACTCTGTGCACTTCAGTCTGCCTGAGTCTGTGAGGATCAGAAGACTTCCTGCAGGAGGTGGCCCAGAGCTGAGACTTACGGGGGTGAAGAGACTTGAAGGCAATGTGGTGCCTGCTGAGGCAGGAGGGGATGGTGATGCCTTTGAGCCCACCTCAAATTTCAGAGTGCCTCCACAGCCAGGGTCCAAGCACTGATCATGCAGGTGAGATGGCTGGTGGGGGGCATTTGAAGCCATGCCTCTTTCTGCCATCCAGAGAAGAGTCTCCAGAGAATTCCCACATGCCTCGCCCTGCAGTGGAGGCCCTGTTTCCCCAGGAGCATGGGGAGGGTGGCTTTGTCATCAGCTCCCTCCCCACGTGGAGGGACGTGAGGGGTGTGGAAGGACAGCAGACATCGACTTAGGGCCCCACCACTTTCTCCTGGGTGATCTTGGATAAAGCACTTAACCTATTGGTGTGTCTCATTTTCTTTAGATACAAACTGGAAATAAAAATACATACCTCAGAGGGTTATTGCAAAGTTCAATTAAAAGACGCTCACCAGAAAAGAAATTGCCAAATGTGCCAAGGTGCCCAGTGGATAGTAATCGCATAGTCTAAATTTGATGAAAGTTCAAAAATTTGGACATTATGAGGAGAGACTAAAAGGGTGGGCAGACTAGGTTTGAAGGTCTCGGGCCCAGTCGGTCATGTTGGGGTCATTTGCTCGGCAGGAATGACCCTCCTGAAATCCTCCAAGACCAATAGCGACAAGTTTGAGAGGGACAGCATCGAAATCTTCACAGTGGAGACCCTGGACCTGGGAGATCTGTGGAAAGTCAGGATGGGCCATGACAACACAGGTCTGGCTTCCCTCCCCTCTGTTCCCTGCTAAGAATGTAAGGACCGTGGACAGGTCCCCGTGGGTGTTTGGGAAAGAACCTGCGGGTGGGGGGGTGGGGGGGGGCGGGGTGGAGAAATTGGATGTCGTTTACCTTCCATAATGCCCCATCTTCTCACTCCCTTCAGCCCAGTAGAGCCCCAGCTGCATGCAGAGATTCTGATCTAATTGGTCTGGAGTAGGTGGATACTGGTGAATTTTAAAGACTTCTCCCATCCCCCACCCTCAGTAATTGCAATGTGCAGCCAGATTTGACAATCTTGACCTAGCTCAGTGGTTCTCAAATGCTTAGGGAGTGGGGCTTGTTAAAACACAGATTTCTGGGCCCCACCCCTAGTCTTTGATTCAGTAGGTCTGGGATGGGGCCCAAGAGTTTACATTTCTCACAAGTGATGCTGAGGCTGCTGCTCTGGGGACCCCACTTTGAGAACCGGTGATCCAGCCAATCCTTCCCAGAACCCACTGACAGTACAGCCAGACAAAGGATGTGCCCAAGTTTGTTCTCTTTCAGTAAAGCAGGACACGTTTTCTTGATCTTCAAACCACGTCTTCTGAGCGGGAGGAAGGAGAGCTTCCTCCTCGCCTCTGGGACTGGGGCACAGGGCTCTCTGCCTGGCCTCCATTTCCTTCTTCAAGCTTGAGCACTCGTTTCCTAGGGAGGGTCATCAATCCTTTGCTGATCTCCCTTCCCTTCATGCGTCACAAACTGAGGCCAGGGAGCTCAGAGTGTCATCCCGCCACTGGGTGAAATTATGCAGTCCTTGTTAATAGGCTCTCTGGCATCCCTGGGTTTCCTGCTTGGAGTGCCTTCCACCCTGGACGGTGTCCTTGCTTCATTCCTCCTAGACTCTCTGCCTCCTGTCATCTCTTCCTCTGCTTCTTTGCTCTTGCTGCTTTGCCTGACAGCAGCCTGGAGCGTGATCCATCTTCAGCTGGGTGCACAGTTTGACAGGAATCATTTTAGCAATGCTGTAAGCAAAAGGGATGGTGTGTTCATGGTGGAGCTGTAGGCATCAGATGTCAAGCAGGGAGGGATGTTCTGAGTCCCTGAAGTTACCCATGGGAAGCCACGCCTGGAGAAGTCCTTAACGGATTCTGTGTCCCCTTCTCTCCAGGCAAGGCTCCGGGCTGGTTTGTAGACTGGGTAGAGGTGGACGCCCCATCTCTTGGAAAGTGCATGACGTTCCCCTGTGGCCGCTGGCTGGCCAGGAATGAAGATGACGGGGCCATCGTCAGGGACCTCTTCCATGCGGAGCTTCAGACGAGACTGTACACGCCATGTAGGAACCGTGCACAGCAAGGCTGGCTTTCCTCCTGGACCCCATTGCCTGCTGCCCCAACTCCGTCCCAGTCTCTCGTCCAACATTCACCCTGGGTCAGGCCCACCTTGGAGATTTGGGTCTCTGGCTCCTTTCCCAAATTCCCTGGTACCTGTGCAGGCTGTGGGCAGAACGCTGGACCCAGGGAAAGGAAATATGGGACTTATTCCAAACTCCACCCCAAAATTGCTGGTGACAACAGGCAGAGAGAGCCTGACCTATGTGGGGCTCAGTTTCCTCATCTGTAAAAGAGAGATAATAATGCAGGATGGTTGTCAGACCCAAAAAGGAAAAAAGATAAAGGTCTAACTGTGAGGGATCCTTATCAACCCCATCACCAATCCTTATTCCAGCCATTAACATGCCAAAGAAATGACCGCTGTAAGATTTTATCCTGATTGGGGACAAAAAAGAACTTGAAAAGAAGGTAAATGTAATTCCTTTTACCATCAAAGGAAAGGAGGAAGGGGACAATTTGGTAAAGTCTCAACACTTCCCTTCCACTGTCATCATCATCATAAAGTGCATATTAAATATTGATATACATATAGGGCCATATAGGTGCTGGGAATCTAACTGAAATCAACCAAACTATAAAAATCTGTCTGAATTTGCTGAAATCTGAACAAAACCCAGAGAATACAATTTCTTTCTAACCAAATAGCTACCTGTGCCGAGAGATTTCTCCCAAACAACTCGTACTTAAACAGTATGAATCATTGAGGAACCTTTTTTTTTTTTTTTCCCGAAGGGATTAAACTGTAAATGACCAGATCATCAGAATATTTTCTGGTTCAAAAACTGAGATAAAGTGACATTTTCCTCTCGTAAAGTCCCTGCACGTACAAAGCAAAAGCTGGATCCAGCCTCTGCCCCCGGGAGCCACCTGCAGTGTATGTCAGACACACTGACCTGACGGATGGACACAGAGCTGGCGGCAGTGTTGAGTGGGACCGTTCAGGACAGAAGCACCCATTTCTCCCTTCATGCCCTTGACAGGCTTTGCTCTGTACAAAAAAGGGAGTTGTGTGACCTGACCTTGAGTATATTCAGTTCCAGTCTGATATTAAAACAAGCGCGTTTGCCCTTTGTCTTAGATTCACATTGGCAAACAATGATAATAATAATAATGCAGGAAGGAATTGACTTTCACGCTGAAGAGCTGCGGAGGCAGCTTTGAAGTACGGTTCTCCCCACATGGGAGCACAGAGAGGAGAGTCTGCTGCTTGGAACCTACTGCCCTGGTTGGAAAAGGTCTCGGGGGCCCAAAGCCAGGGACCCAGGGTCTAGGGAGTGGCAGCCCCAGGAATGGTGGGGAACAGTGCCCAGTCGTCATTTTCAAGGGCCTAGAAGGAATCAAGACAGTTCATCAAGGCTGCCCAATACGTGAAGAGCAGAACAAGATGGAGCCACACAGGAGAGGCATGTAAATTAGGAAGGGGCTGTTGTGATGGCCCGAACTTATAGGCTCCCCGGGGAGGCAGGACATAGCATGGAGCCCTGAATGTCAGAACCATGCCCTGTTAGGGCTGGGAGGGACCTTAGCCTTCAACCTACGTTCTGAGGATCCGTGGAAGTCGAAGGGGGTGTCTCAGGGCAGCCGATGGGAGGAGGGGAAAGGCTGAGGGGGGAAAAGCCCCCAATTCATGCCATCCAGAAAAGCTCCTCAGCTTTAAAAAGTCAAGCTTTTTCTGAACATTCTTGATAAATGTATTTATAAGAATTCCACAGTTAAACAAACTGAAAACCACAGATCTGGTTAGACTCCCTCATTTTACAGGCGAGGAAGCTGAGGCCCAGAGAAGTACAGCCATTTGGCCAAGGACACACAGCTACTCAATGGCAGAGGCAGAACTAGAGGCCGAGAAGCAAATCTGAGCCCAGGCCTAGAGGAATGAGGGCTGAAGGGTGGGCTGCTCCTCCCAGCACGTTTCCAGGCCTGCTCCTACTGCCCGCTAGCCTCAGGAGAGCTCCTATCCGTTGCCATCTTCTCTGCTCAAGGCCTCCCGGGCCTTAGACAGTGGGGAAACCCAAGAAGACTCAGAGGAAGGGGCCACACGCTACAGAGATGGCGCCTCCGGTCCTGCCTGAGGGCCTGGCAGGGTCAGGACTGTGTTTCCCCTTAACCTGCTACTGAGGACCCTGTTCAGGCTAGTCTGATATTAAGCTGACCAGCGGTCACCGCCATAGGCTACCCCTCCCTGTGGTTTGTGGGTAGGCAGCACTCCTCACCTCCAGTTCACGACAACAGCACCCCTAGAGGCTGACCACACAGGATTTGGGGTCAGACAAGCCGGGGTTCAAGTTCAAGTTCCACCGTTGACAAGCTGTATGATCTGGGTCAAGATCCTTCACCTCTCTGAGCCTTGGTTTTCTCATCCATAGAGTGGAGTATAGTAACACCCACTTCCTGGGGTCACTGTGAAGGTTAAAGGAGCTGAGGAATGTAGACTTTTTAGTACAGAGCCTGGCAAATAGCAAACACTCAAGGAATGACAATTGCTACTACAGTCCCACAGCAAAGTAACCATGATAATAAAAGGCAATTCCTCCTCTGGAGAAGGTTGGGGTCACCTGTGAGAAGGTGACTTGTAACGGGACTCCTTTCAAGGTCAAGACCACAGGTTGGGTAGATTTCTGCTTGAACTATACCTCTGGGTTTTTCATCCTTTTTTGTGTGACTTAGAGTAAGTATGCACATTTATATACAAATGCAACAAACAATAAGTGCCACCAAAAAGCTTTATCTTCACTATGTGTGATGGACAGTGATATTTTCTATTCGATTTCATTCAATTCCATATATTTTTTAAAATACTGGTGATGACCCACCAAATTCACTTGACAACCTGCTAATGGATCTCAGCCCGTAGTTAGCAATACACTCTCTTAGAACACTGGTCTCAACTTTAGTGTGGAGTCTGGGTTAAATATTTAGAACCTGTATTTTCAACAAGCATCCCAAGAATTCCTGAAACAAAAGGTCCTCTGCTCATACTGGTGGCCGCCCACCGGGAAGCTGCTTGCCAATAACACTGATGGCCAACCTCTCTCTTCAGGACAGACAGTCCCTGCTGGGACTGAGTAAACTCTGGTGCATCCCTCACCTCCTCTACTCCCCTCCCCAATAGGAGACTCCTATAAAGTGAGGGGACATGAATGAGGGGGAACAGAAGGCCCCCTGCAGCATCCAACCCAAAAAGGGGCCAGATGCAACATGGATGAATTGGGGAGGGCAGGCCAGCACGGAGTGAGTGAGGGACTGGGAGCAGGGGACGGGAAGAGAAGAGAGAGGACTCTCACCACTATAGACTGGCTGATCCAATGGGAAAGTTGCCCCCTGAAATATAATTCTCTTGTTTATAGGGTGTCTATAGCTAGGGAACACGTTGAGGATGCTTTACAGATGAGGAAACGGAGGCTCATAAGTGACTTGCCCAGGTCACACAGATAGTCAGGTTAGAGCCTGTGCTTTCAGCCAGTCGGTTGTACTAGCTCTGTGATGTGAGAGCCATGGAGACCTGGTCTGAGGTGACAGGGGCTTCCTGTGGGCACTAGGCATGACAGGACACTTCCCCCCACTCTGTGGTTGCTGGACGACAATGTGAAGGCCCAAATTCCTGGGCAGCAGCTCCCTGGTAAAGGGGCCCAGGGTGGCGGTGCTGGTGAAGAACTCGACCTTGCCCTCGTTCGTTTTCTGTTCTCACCTCCCCTCTAAGCTAACCCTCTGTCCTCCACCCCCAGTTGTCCCTTACGAGATCACCCTCTACACCAGTGATGTCTTTGCTGCTGGTACAGACGCCAACATCTTCATCGTCATCTACGGCTGCGATGCTGTGTGCACCCAGCAGAAGTACCTGTGCACCAACAAGAGGGAGCAGAAGCTGTTCTTTGAGAGGAAGTCCGCCTCCCGCTTCATTATGGAGGTACCTGGGCTCAGCAGGCTGCCGGGGAGCCAGGTCTGGGAGGTGCGGCAGGTCAGAAGAGGGGGCAGGAGAAAGAGCCCTGCGCCCAGAGGCAGTCACGTGCCTTTCACCTTGATGGGCTGCTGCTGGTGAGGAAGACGGGCAGTTCCTCCGAGCTCTCTGGGCCTCAGTACATCCGAGTACCAGGAGGACGGTGAACCTCGCCCTGCCTCTCTAGGACTGGTGTCAGCATCAAAGGTGATAAGGAGTGGACAGGCCTTGGGGAAACTAGGGCACAATTCCAATTTCCCTGGGGCCATCTCCAGTGCTACCAACAACAGACGTGTATCCATGGGGACAGCCTGGCTTCCAGACCTGCTCGTCACATAACTGTGCCTTCTGCTCACCTGCCGAGCTAAGGCCGAACAACCCAAAACAGAAGAACATCCTGTGTGTTCCTTGGCTCCCCCTTGGCTCTGGCCTGGGGGTTTACTGTGGACGTAGGTCGGTCACCTTAGTACCCTGTCTGCTTCAGTTCAGTGCCTGCCCTGTGCACGCCACTGTGTGCTAGGTTGGGTGGAAGAGGCAAGGGAAGAGGACTCAGACTCTGCCTGCAAGGGGTTGCAGTCCGGCTGGGGAAGCCCTGACCTCCACACAAAGCTAACGGGAGAGTCTGGTGATCGTCGTCATAACTGGTCCTGTGGGTCAGAAGGCGCTGTTGTAGGGCTTTATGTATATTAATTCACCTAACCCTCACAGCACCTCTGTGCTGTAATTACCCCTGTTTAAAGATGGGGAAACTGAGGCACAGGGAGTTTAGTAGCTTGCATAAAATCACACAGCTAGGGCATCGTGGGAGCTGGATTCAAACCCAGGAGGACTGGCTCAGAATATGGGCTCTTAGCTCCTGCTAAGACCAGCCCGTGATGATGAGGACAAATGGCAGGGCTGACTGAGCACGCCATGGGTGTTCAGAGAAGGGAGAAGGCTCCCTGCAAGTGGTGGCTTTGAGCTGGACCTGAAAGTGGGATCAGCAGGGACAAGGAGGGGAGGCATTCCTAGCAAGGGGAACATCGTGGCCAAGGGCTGGACGTGGAAATAAACACAGCGTGTGGTTTGAGGTTTGGCCAGAGGGGACGGGAGGAGAGTGACGTGACTTGGGTTGAGGACCAGATGAAGCAGGACGGAAGGGGGACAATTCTGAAGAAGAAGAGGTAGGAGTCCCAGGAGCCTGGACTCCCCAGGCAGTGGGGACCTTTGGAGATGTGCCCCTTATTTTCTGATGGGAAACAAAGCCTCGAGCACCTTCCTTCTTCCTCGGTCGGTGTCTGTCCTGGGGACTCCCTGCTGCTCCACCTTCTCTGGGAGCAGTCAGCGCTTGTGGGAAGGGTGCCACCTTGGTGGAATCTTTTGACAAGGAAAATTCAAGGGTGATTCATCTCTCCGCCCAGACCACCCTCTCAGCCACCCAAGTTGTCGTGGTGGGTGAGTCATCTGAGCCGATGCCGTCAGTGGCCTGGGCAGTGATTGCACCTCAGCACGTCTTCTGGGGAGTTTCCTCAACCAAGTGCCCACCAATGGGCAGCTGTAATTTGCCAGCAATTTGTTGTTATTTTTTTTTCTTTTTTCTTTTCAAATCTATCTGGGGGTTGGGGGAGGGTGAGAGCTTGAAAACAACAAAAAAAGCTTTGTGTCCCTCTCTCTCCATTTCTCTTTTCTGACCCATCTTCAGGTAAGAGGTAAGAGCCCTGGATTGCAAACTCATAACCCTGGGTTCTGGTTCTGGCTCAGCCACTAACTCCTGAGCAAGCCGCTCCCTCTCTGTGGCCTCATCCTAAGACACAGGGACTGGCCAGGAAAGTAGCAGTGACAGCTAGTATTTATTGAGCACGTCACACGTGCCAGCCCTGTTCTAAGCAGGTGACGTTTATCAACTCATTTAATCCTCATCACCATTCCGAGAGTTCTGTAGTACGAGTATCTCATTTTACAGCTGAAACAGCACAGGAAGGTTAAGAAACTTGCTCATGGGTCACAAGGAATGAACGACAGAGCCAGGATTTGGACTCTAGCAGTTCAGTTCCCGAGCCTTCTCTGCTTAACTCTTCCACATCTTGGGAGAACACAAGGGTCCCTTCTGATTCTGACGTCATCTGAGTCCATCCCTGAGGCCCACCATCCCTGACCAGTGGTCCCCTAAAGGTCTCCTTGCTCTCTGCGGGGTCACAGCTGAGATGGGCACCCTGGTACAGCATGTGCAACTGAGTGGCTGGATGATTAAGATTTTAAAAAGTACCATCGAAGCCGAGGTCCTCACATCTCGAACATCAGAGATGAGGCAGGGACGGAGGAAGAGAGGCCCTCGGACAGAGGGAGAGGTGGGTGGATCTTCCGTTCCTGGTTCTGCCAGGCAGCTTAGCGTCTTCAAGTGGAGATTCTGCGGACCGTGTTTCTCTCGTGAAAAATAAGGCCTCGTTAAAAGTGTCCACGGCACTAACATCGGCCTGAAATCACCGATCTGTATTTAATGATTCAGAAAGCCCCTCGCAGGCTCGCAGGGGGTGCCACTTCTCTGATGAGGTGTGGGTGAGCCGGCCAGCAAGGAGTTGGGGGGCTGGGGCGGGTTGTGGGGTAGCAGAAGCAACAGCAGCTGTAGCATCCTCGTTGCTTCAGAGAGTTTGCAGCAATGTGTTGTTCTCCTGGTCCCTTGCAATGAGAGAATAGTTAACAAAAAGAACCATGTCTGTGATCTTAGACCTAGAAGTGACCTCAAGGGGTTATCTTGCCCATGTCCCTGCCTTCAGCTCCCCCATGTTATAGATGAGGAAGTTGAAGCCTGGAGGGTCAGTGGCTTGCCTCAGATCACAGAGCCAGTAGGTGGCAGAGTCAGGGCTAGAATTGGGGGGGGGGGGGGGGGATGAGGGTAGGGGGTGGGAGTTGGGGGAGGTTCCTCAAGTAGTGCTGATGGGCCTCCCCTTGGCTGCCAACTGTGGGTGGGTGGGCGTGTGGGGAGGGAGGAAACCTCTGGTTGGAGGCTGCTTCAGTTCATTCGGAGGTCGCTTCCGTCTATGGTTCAGAGGCTTTGCATTTGATGGATGACTCAATCAATCATTCAGACGCCATTCACTCATCAAGAGCCCTCATCTGCCCTGGAGCTGACTGCGCTGTCTCCTCTGAGAGCTTGAGGGAGCGACCAGGCAGCCAGCTCTGCAGAGGGGCTTCCAGGAAACTCAAGTCTGCACAGCCTGGGGGGTGCTATAGGGTGCTATAAGAGCCTATCATAAAGAGATTTGACTTTCTCGAGGTGATCAAGGGGATTTCCCTGAGGAAATGATCCTTGTGCTGAGACCCAAATGATGAGGTTGAGCAGACACTGGTTTAGAAGAAGAAAGGGGAGAGGCAGGGAGAGCATGTGCAAAGGCCCTGTGGTGAGAAAATGTCAAATTTGAGGGACAGGGATTTGAGGGATATAGACGAGCAGTGGCTGAAGGTGAAGGGGACTCTTAGGGGCCAAGGAGAAGGCCAACCTGGCAAGACAGGGCATAGGCAGAACTGGAACTCATCTTCTGTTACCCAAGTCAGTTCTCAAACAGGGAATGAGCTGCTACAGCAATAAGTAATGGAAGACAGAGAGCTGGGCTCCACCATGAAGAGCGGAGACAGCCTCCCAGAGGTCGATTGAACTGAGTTCTGGAGTCTAGGCTGATTTTAAGTGAGGGAAGGGGAAAGGAAGCAGGAGCGGGGAATGTGCAGAGGAGAGTGGGCGCTGGCCTGGCTGGATGATGGGACATACCGAGAGAAAATGACCTCTGGAAGTTCAAAGGGACTCAAGGGTGGATGCCCTGGGGAGACAGGGTGTTGCTGAGGCTGTACTTTCCTGGACCCGCCAGCTAACATCTGGTGCCTTTTCTCCTTGCCAAAGTTAGAAGACGTGGGAGAAGTTATTGAAAAAATTCGGATTGGCCACGATAATACAGGCGTAAATCCTGGGTGGCACTGCTCCCACGTGGACATCCGCAGGCTCCTCCCAGATAAAGACGTGAGTTCCTGACCTGTTTGTCCTGTTGTTTCTTTTGCCCCTTTCCAGAAGAGATTCCAGGCAGATTTCCTACAAGAACCTACAGCCTCATTAAGTTGAGATAAAATCTTAGGAGGAAAATTCCTGCAGTCCACTCAGGGTGCAGGAACTGGCTCAGGTCCAAGGCAGAATCTTTTAGAACCTGGTTTAGGGGTGAAGGAGGAGGGTCTTGGCAATCAGGTCTCTGCTCCCCACACCCAGGGCCATACTACTAGTGAGTGACCCAACGTGCCCTTCCTGCGACTCAAGGTCAACTCACAGAAAGAAATCCACCCAGACAACTTGGAAAACATTCTGAAACCACAGGATTCTAACCGAAGGGTAGCCCTCAATCATGGCTGTAGATTTGAGTGATTTGGGAGCAATTTAAAAATACTGAGGCCCCCCCGTTACCCACTGAAGCTAAGTCTGCAGGATGGGGTTCAGAGATCTATTTTTAAGTGACCCAGGGAACCCCGCTTTCATGAGCCAATCCCTCATGTGGTTGTGGAAGTCTTCAAGTGAGACTGGATCTGCTGAAAGTGGGGCAGGGCTGGAGGGGGGTCTCCCCTGTAGCTTCTGCATTATCCCATGGGGCTCCATGACCCCTGCCCTTGGTCTCTGTGAGTGTTGACATGCTAATGAACTGAAGTTGGCGGTTTCCACATTAAGGGCTAATTTTCCTCTTTCCTCCTCACCCCAGGGCACAGAGACCTTGACTTTCCCTTGTGACCGATGGCTTGCCACGTCGGAGGATGACAAGAAGACCATTCGAGAACTGGTCCCTTATGACATCTTCACTGAGAAATACATGAAAGATGGGTCCTTAAGGCAAGTCTACAAGGAAGTGGAGGAGCCTCTGGACAGTAAGTGTGCTGCGGACGCCCTCACCCTCAGCAGCAGCAGCCCTCCCTTTACAGCCCCTGCCCCGTGCCAGGAGGAGCCTTTGCCCCTAGCAGGCAGGCTCTGTTATTATCTCCATTCTGCAGAGACGGCAACTGAGGTTCACGGAGGTTACATAAGCTGCCCAAGTTCACACAGCTAATAAATGGCAGAGCTATTCTTCAAAGTCTCAGCTGTCTTGCTCCACAAAGGACTTGTGCTCAAGTCCTTTCCTGGCCTGACAGTGTGATAATACATCCAAATATTTGTTCTCTTGTGCCTGGATTGTCCTGGTCCTTGTCTCTCCCTTCTTCTTGTTTATTTGGCTACTAATCTGCAGGGTTTGCTATTGCTGGATCCAGCCGTCTCAACCAAGTCTGAATCCAGAAGCATCCTGGATAAATATGTAACTGGATTCGTGTGTGTTTTTTCTCAGGGTCTGGATGCAGCTTCAGGGTGTCGAAAGTCATGGTTTCTTTTCTGTTGGTGCCAGTTACCTTTGCCCCTTCCTCACTGATGTGGTTTTCTCTGCAGGACTTGCACCGGCCTGACCATGTACTTCTCGTACTGCTTCCTTTGCTTGTGAACCACCATTTTCTGCTGCTCTCTGCCTAGCCTATTGAATGCTGTTTTCCTTTCTCTTGCCGGGCGGTGTTGCTCCAGGCTCAGTCCTTAGCCTTCTTTCTTTCCACACTGTGCATGTGTGTGTGCGCGCACATGTGAATGTGTGAGCACACACACACATGCATTCTTCCTGGACCACATGGACAGAGTCACACCTTTGTTTTGACCAGCAGTGCCATTGTTCATGTCCATCCCCACGTTATTCACCAGCTAGTCAGCTCCAAATAAGCTTTAGCTATGTCAAAAATCAAATTCACTTGTGAAAAACAGGCTTTCTACCACTGAGGATATACGAAAGAATACTATGGGTCTCCACGGGGGCAGTCTATATGGTTCAGAGATGCTCCCAGAGCTTGGAAATTCAGCTTCTATTTGTTTCATTGCCTTCTTGGAGAAAAACTAGAGTAAAACTCAAGATTCTGGGCCCCATAGAGAGCTAAGAGGATGTAAGACAGCCATAGCTCTAACATTTCCTTTAATCTGAGTTGCCACTCAGTGATAAAAACAAGTGTTGTCTCAATAATGTGCCTTTCCCTACCAGTATCCCTCGTTCCGAATTTTCTTTGCTATTACATCTGGGGGGGGTAATTTCCTTTTCTACTTGGATCCCAGAGGCCACCCTGGAAAGCCATCCCAGTGGCACACTTTGGCTGCTCTAGATGAATCACCTGCCACAAACCCACTCTGTGCTTGGTGGTGTTTCTAGGGAAACATCTTCCACTGAGAGCTGTGTGGCCTGGGTGGGACGGGGAGGGAGGAGGATCCAGAAATAGCCGGATTTGACTGCACAACCGCATTGCTCAGCACCCAGAAGCTGAATCAGTTTTCCTAATTCCCAAAGGACTGGAGAGAGCAGTGGGGGGTGGAAGACGGGGGAGAAGGACAGCCATTTATTCACAGCCCTGGTGACACAGCACCCCACTCCAGCACAAGGGCGCCTAGAAAAGGTCCTATTCAGGTGTGGAGAGGGCTGAAGGCACAGCCAGGAAATGGATGGGGAGAAAAAATGGGGGAGGGGGAGACAATCGACTGTTGTGTCTAAACTGTGACAAGGCTCCTAATGTTACCTCCTGTCAGTATTAGCCAGACAGGCTTGGGTAGTGTTGACTCTTTAAACAGCCAAGAGAAGATTTTATTTGTTCTTGCAACACAAGAAATGTTCACTGGATTCTGCACTGAGCTGAGCGAGATGGGAGATGGAGGCAGTGTGACTAGTCCTGGTTCCTGCCCTTGATGGGGGCAGGCCTCTGAGGGCAGTTCTCACAGTACACCAAGGAGGTTTGGGGAGCAGAGTGCTGGGTGGGGGGCTACGGAGACGGGGAGGATGGGTGAGGAGAAGGTTTGGAAAAGGGGCATCAGGAGGGGATGGATTTCAGGTTTGGATGTGAGTTTGTGACCTGTGATCTTGTCAAGGTGGACGTGTCCACTGGGTGACAGGGGCGCGGATCCAGAGCACAGGAGGGAACTGGGTTGGAGATACAGACTTGGGCACTCACGACAGTCAACAGCCGGGGCATGCAGAATGAGAGCTGAGGTAGTGGGCGGAACCCGGCACGCAAGGGCATCCAAGGGGCTGGCAGAAGATCAGGAACTCGTAAAACTACTCAAGAAGAAGCGTCTAGAGAGGCCGAAGGACAGCAGGAGAGAATAGTGCTGTAGAATCCCAGGGAAAATGAGGAAAATAACAGGAGCCATGTGGGCGTGAATGTATTCCATAACCATGGGTATGAGCAATTCACATCACCTTACATTTCTAAATTTAATGAAATGTGGTGTGAGCGCACTTGCAAGGTTGGTAAGAAAGTCTTTCTTAGGCCCTGCAGAGAGGGGGAATCCCCTTTCGAGGGTCTTAGAAGAATCCTGAGACTCACAGGAGGGGCCTGGCCCTTAGTCCAAGGTGTGTACCACCTATACCTATAGCTTCCTGCCACATCGTCACACTGCTGCTGCTGGCTCTCCACTGACATGCAGGTATCATTTCTCTGGGTGGCCGGAAATGCTTCTTCACGGACTCTGGATTTGTCCAGAGAGCCTCTCTTCAGCCCTGAGGCCTCCCACTTCAAGTCCCCAGATGAGCCCACAGCCATCTCCCTATTGGGTCTCTGTGTGCATGTGAGGGGTTCCTGCCACCCGCGGAGACGCCCAAACCCTCTCCCGCCCCCGGGCTGGGAAACTAACCTTCTTCCCAGTTGGGCCACCTCGCCCTTCACCACAAAGCCACAACTCCCCTCCCTCTGCTTGAGGGTAATCTAGCCAAGTCTCCTCTTCCTTGGGCTGAAACTTGAAAGCTCCTTGGATGGAGGGATGTGGAGAGGGGACTGAGAATTCTCAGCCTTCAGAGCAGCGTAAGATATGCCTTTCCTGCTGGAGTGGAGGCTGGGGAAGCAGATACTTTATGCCTCCCTGATGAGCCCACAGCAGCAAAACAAAACAGGGCAGCACTCATTTTTATTTTCCTTAATAATTTTTAATAACTGTCACACCAGTATGTGTGGAGCGCTTCCCACAGGCCATGGGAGACAAAGGAGAGGGTGGCAGTCACTGTGGCTTTGGAGAGAGGAGTCTCCCTGGGGAAACTGGGGGCAGATGCTGGATGGCAGCAGATTGGAGAATAGGTGAAAATGGAAATGGACTCTGAGGAAGCTATTCGCTCAACAATATTTGATGTTCTCCATAAACTGTCCAGGATGACCTGGCACGGATACTGGTCACCGTATGGTGGGATGGCACGTTATCGTCAGCATGTCAGGGCAGGTAGATTGAGTGACCATGGTGTGCACACGTGTCAGGTGGTTTCCTGAGTCTTTCCCCCAGGACGCTGTAAGCAGGCGGATGGGTGGACGGTTCGAGGGGCACTGGGGGAAATCTCCATCCTTGGCTCTTAGAGGCCACCTGTGTCCAGATCAGATGGGCGACCTTCCCACTGGTGAATCCAGCAGGTTCGTAGCAGAATGTTCATAATTAAGCAAATAAAAGAAAGACACTGACTCATCCTCGAAGCCCAGGCCAGAAGCTTAATATCTCCTACAAATCCAGTTCCCGTAAACCTAAATGATGCCATCCTTTTTTTCCTGTCCGTCCATCTGTCTGTCTGTCTGTCCCACTGCCTGCCCAGTTGTGCTGTACTCCGTGCAGATCTTCACAGGAAACGTTCCCGGAGCAGGGACGGACGCCAGGGTCTACATCACCATCTATGGAGACCTGGGGGACACTGGGGAGCGGTACCTCGGCAAGTCAGAGAACCGCACCAACAAGTTCGAGAAGGGAACGGTACAAGGGCACGCTGAGTTTACCCGGCTTCCCTTCCCCTCCCAGGCCCAGTTCTCTGGGGGCCAGCTCTTCTTGGTCCCCGAGGCTGTGTGGGAACTTTGTGGAGTGTCCTACACCTTGACATGGGCATTTGTCCTTGTACCTCCCCCTGCAGAGCAGCTGGTCCCCTCTCCCTGCCCATGCATGGGCCTGGGTCCTGCATGTGGGGTGCGGGTGGGGCTTCAGCAAGTCTTTTTGAGCCCTAGGTTGTGGGCTGTATGGGACTGGGTTGTCTTCAGAAAATCCAGCTCCCTGTGGGTGGGTCATGAGAGTGGTGGGGGCCGCGCTGACAGAGGCTTGAACTGGGGGTCTGGAGGCCTGGCTCTGCCGTCAACTCCTTGTCTGGTTGAACTTCTCTGGCCTTGGTTTCCTCATCTGTAAAATGAGGAGCCTGACGTGAATCAGTTAAACCGTGTTGTACAGAGCCTTGGTTAGCACCGAGGCCCTTGGGAGCCATGGAGGGATAGAGGGGGCAGACGGGCACCCCACTCCACCCATGTAGGTCCACTTTGACCTGGCTTATCTGTTGGGGTGCAAATCAAGCCCTCTATTAAGCAAAGGGCTCTGAGGCTACAAGAAGGCTTAAGAACCACATGACTGGCCAGCGTCTAAGGCCAGGCCAGCTCTGACATGCTGTGGTCTTACAAAATGAAGACATCTGTCCAAACTTCCCTTCCCACCAGCCCGGCTTCCCTCTCCCGCTGTGGCTCCTCTCTGTCTCCGTGTCCTTTCTGCCTTACCCCCTTCTCTGCTTCCTCAGCCGCTTTTCCTTCTCTCCATTCACCGAAATCTGCTGGACGCCCCCCCCCCCCCCACAGGCCAGGCGATAGCCTCAGGGTGATCAAAGCAAGGAGACTGGCTCTTAACCCAATCTGTGGCCTTGCCTGTGGGGATTTCCTGCATCCATCAGTGGGTGTTTATCAGGGGTCCCCCTAAACCGGACCCTCAGCCAGGCATGACCTTTACTATTGACACACTTGCTGCTGGTGTGGAGGAAATGAGCTCTGGGACAAAGAAAGCAGGTGTCATCTAAACGGGTCTGTGGCTGGCTGGTGACCCCATGAGCCAGGTCACCTGGAAGGAGCCCCAGCCTGGCTACAAGGCCCCCGGGGAGTCAAGCCCCAGGGCTCCCATTCGTTTGCTCCATCATCCAGCTATGAACCATGTCCCCTTAGCTTTGGTTACTCCTTGTGAAGAGGGAATAGTGACGTGATAGCTAAGTAGACCCCTGGCCTGAAAAACAGGACAGGAAATGTAAGAGCACTTTGCATCAGGGAGAAATACTTTCACACACACACACACATGAGATGTAATTGTTCCCTACACTTATAGCTAATAGGAGGTCTATCCATTTTGGACAAATGAAATGCCAACAAGGTCGAGTGACTCATGTGGTGTCCTTGGCTTAGACTAGGGACACAGTTATCAGGCTCACCCGTACATGATGCTGTGGGATGTGGCAGTACCATTCAGCGGTCAGGCGCTCAGCGCTGTGGCTGGGGCCAGATCACCTGAGCTCCAATCCTGGCTCTGACACTGACTAGCTGTGTGTTATTGGGCAAGTTATTTAGCATCTCTGTGCGTTAGTTTCTTCCACCATAAAATAAGTTAGCCGAATGAAAACATGTGAAGTGCCTAGAACCACCCTGGCATGAAGATAGCTCTTTGTTCATGCTGGGCATTGTCGAGGCATGGAGAGCTCCTGTCCCCTGCCTTTGTTGATGCCCGGAGCCAACACCTGGTACATGTGTTGTAAGACAGCAAGCTGAGGCATCCAGCTGATGGATCCACTTTTGTGCGGGGCTCTATCCACAGAGCCTGGCACAGAGTAGGCACAGTGAATATTTGTTGAGAGAATAAATGAATGAAGGTATAACTGAAGGTGATGCAATCCATTCTCCTCTGTGTTCAGAGTCAGACTTTTTTCTTTCTTAGCAATTGTTACATCAAAAGAAAAATCTTCACTCCCCTCTGTCCCATCCCTTTCTCCTCCTTTCCTCCGGTTTTGATGTCCCATCAGGGGAGCTGGAGCTACTTCTGGCTCAGTCCCTGACGATTTGTGGGACTTAAAATTCATGCTGAGCATCTAAAAGCTTCCGTTTCTCTAACCGCTTGCTCCAGAATCCAGGAGCTGTCCTTCACACCCTCTCCCTGTCAGCACCCCTCCCCACCCACGTCTAGTCAGTCACCAGGTCTTGGAGATTCTCCCTTCTAAGTAACTTGGGATCAGCCCAGTCAACTCCGGCGCCACTCAGCCCTTCCCTGTCTCACCTCACTTAGTGAACCAGCCTGGTCCCCCTGCTCCAGGCCCCTGGAATCCAGTCTATCCTCCGGCTTTGTCAATTAACCTATCCAAAGTCACCGCTTCACTTCAACCCATCAGGGGCTCCCCACCGATCCCAGATCTGCCCTGAGCCCTGGGTGGGATTCACAAACCTTCAGGGCCCACCCCGTCAGCCTGACCCCTGGGCCCCAGTTTCCAGAATGCCCTACACCCTCTCCTGTCTCTAAATCCTTCCAAGCCTTTTCTCTGCGTCCATGGTCTTACGCCCTGAGAAAATGCATAATGCTCTTCTGTGGTTTTAACTTTTTACATAAAAGGTGTCATCCCATATGGATGGCTCTTCAGCTGGCTTGGTGTGCAGCGGGTTACCCTGGAATCTTCTACATCAGGATACTCAAACACAGATGGGGCTGGCTCATTCTTTGTAAGCACTGGACACACAACAGTCCACATGGCTATTCAGCTGTTCCCCAAGTGCTGGACTCCTAGATGGCTCCCAGTTATATATAACTGTAAAAGTTATCCGGCAATAAACACACTTGTGAATATTTCAAGGTGTCCCCCCAAGACAGATGCAAAGAAGTGGGATTGCTGTGTCATGGGTGTGCCTGGTTTTGTTCTAATGCATTCAGTCACTTGCCAGCACCCCAAGGCCTGCTTGGGTCCACACCAGCTGTCAGCCATGCACCATTCACCTGCAGTGTCCTCAGCCAGTGGCTGACCTGCCCTGGCTGCTTGGAAGGCCCAGCCCCGTGTCTTCAGCTTAATGCCGCCTCCTGGAGAATCTTCCCAACCCTGCCCCTCGACCTGGCCCAGGTGGCTGCTCCCACTACAGGGGCCGTCTCGGGGAGAGGGAGACATCCTATCTCATTCATCTCTGTGTTCCCCATGCTCAGCAGGGACTCAGTACATCTTCCAGAAGGAAAGTGGCATCACTCAGGGTCACCTGTCCCTCTTCTCCCTCTCCAGGCTCCTGCCTGCCACATTCAACCTGTGTTTTCACCCCACCTCACCCAAGGCCTGGAAGTCCACATCTCACGGAGCAATCCCCAGAGAATCCAAGTGCCCAAGAGCATAGTGTCACTTTACTGAGGGCACAGTCAGGGACGCAGTGGAGGGCCTATGTCACACCCACACAAAAACGCTCACGAACCCACATTCCACATGTTGTCCTCTGCCTTCCCCTCAGCTGTGCCTCCACTGGAGCCTACCCCCCTCTGCCTGCTCTCTTGCAGCCCAGCCACTGGCTCCTCCACTGCCTCCCAGCTTCCCCCAGGAACTCCAGGCCCCTCCCAGTATTCAGAACTTTACCCCTCTTCCGTGGCTCTCCCCCTCCAGCCTCCCACCAGAACTCATGCCATACTCAAGATAATGAAGGACGTCCAGGAACTGGGCGGAGCACCCGTGTCTGTCCTACCCCCGCTCATCTGCTCATGAGGGTCCGTCTTCCAAACACCACAGGGCTTATCCCGAGAGGAACTGGACTGCAAAAGGAGGCCCTTGTGGGAGTGAGGCCTTGACCTACTAAATGCTCTGTGTTAGGGACTTGGGCCTGGAGGGCTCCCAGCTAGGAAGGTCTGTTTTTTCCAACAATTGAGGGGGATGGAAGGTACTGGAAGGACGGGGTGGGAATGGGTGGAGGTGGGGAGTGTCCCCCCCACCAAGTCCCCACATCTGGACTCCCAAGGCCGACACCTTCATCATCGAGGCTGCTGACCTGGGCGTCATCTACAAGATCAAGCTCCGCCATGACAACACCAAGTGGTGTGCAGACTGGTATGTGGAGAAGGTGGAGATCTGGAACGACACCAACGAGGACGAGTTCCTGTTCCTGTGTGGACGCTGGCTGTCCCTGAAGAAGGAGGATGGGCGGCTCGAGAGGCTCTTTTATGAGAAGGTGTGTGAAAGGCGTCTGGGGAGCCCAGCTTAGCCATGGTCTGTCATCATCCTCATACCTGGGGGAGGCCCCGTGGGACGGAAGGTGCTGGAACTGTAACGGGCCTGGGTCATGCTCTTCGGGACAGGAGTACACTGGGGACCGGAGCAGCAACTGCAGCAGCCCTGCTGACTTCTGGGAGATCACCCTGAGCTCCAAGATGGCCGACATCGACATCGCCACAGTGACTGGGCCCATGGCTGAGTACGTTCAGGAGGGCCCAGGTAAGCCAAGCAGAGGGCTGTCAGAGGAGCAGCAGACCCACGGAAACGTGTTTGAGCTATTCGTGGACAGGCCATGCATTGGTCCCACCATCACCTAACTAACATTTAATGCTTTGTAATTTACAGAATTTTCACACCTATTGGTTATCAGCCTCCCCACAACAACCCTGGGAGGTGAGAGGGCAGGGATTATAGCCCCCTTTACAGATGGGGAAACAAAGGCTAAGAGAAGTTAGGGTGGTGGTGTCCTTCATCCACTATCCACCACCAGGAGGCTATCTTATAAACTCTGTTCTCACCTAGACTCTCAGGATATAGATTCAGCCCAAAGGACCTAGGGGAATTCTCATCAGACAGGAGTCAACAGCCGCAATGAGAACCCCTTTCATGTCAGTAGAGCGTAACACAATGGACTCAGCCATGAAAGCTTAAGGCATTCTGTGGGGTGGGGGAAGAAGTCTTGAGCTGTTTTGGGGTGATTTAAGCTCTCACCGCTGCAGCCTGGGTTCATTTCCTGGCCAGGGAACCATACCACCAGTGTATCAGTTGTCGTACTGTGCCCGCTGCATGTTGCTATGATGCTGAAAGCTATGCCACCAGTATTTCAAGTCAACAGGTCACCCATGGTGGACAGGTTTCAGCAGAGCTTCCAGACTAGACAGACGAGGAACAACCTGGCCGCCCACTCCTGAAAATTTGGCCATGAAAACCCTGTGACTTGCAACACAGCATTGTCTGATATGGCGCTGGAAGGTGAGAAGATGGCACGAAAAGACCGGGCAGGGTTCCGCTCTGCTGTGCACAGGGTCGCTAGGAGTCGGAATCAACTCAACAGCGCTAACAAAGTTCCATTTCTGATTCTGCCAATGAAACGTGTGGCCTTGGACAAGTCACTCTTTTGGCTTCAATTTTTCCCTCCTCCATAAGACAGGATTGTAATCCCCTGACAAGTTGGTTTCTCCAAACAGACTTTTGAGATGAGGCAGTTGTATATTTGTCTATTGGATATTTAAATGCACTGCCTTTCTGTTCAGTTCTCTTAAATATAAGAGCATGACAATCACTGCATTCCCCTCCAGGAGACCACATGGTGGGTCTGCAGGGTTGGGTAGAGAGAATTGATCTTTCTATACTCTATCATCTCACTGTGTGAATAAGTGGCAGGACCCACAAGAAGATGCCTCTCCTTAATTAAGCACTGTGATCAACTATGGAAAGGCCAATGGGGCTCTCCTTGTAAAGATGAAACAAGGCCATGGCAGGTATAGAAAACAAGGCAGGTAAGTCCAGCCAGGAAGGTCTAGTTTGGAAACTTTTCAAAGAGATACAGATTGCATAGCCTAGCACTCCCTACACCAGGGCAGTGTCTCCCAAGCTGCTGAGGAAGATGGTCCAGGAGGAGGGTTTCCAACTTGTATCAATTAGTAACTGCAAGTGACAGCCACCTGGAGATCATGGCTTAAACAATGAGGGATTTTTCTTTTCTCTCACATAGAGTTCAAAGGTAGACAGTTGGGACTGATACAGCAGTTCCAGGGAAGTCGGGGACCCAGGCTTCTTCAGTGTGATCACTCTGGCAACCTTACAAGTGGCTTCCATCTTAAGTGTTGCCCATGGTTCCAAGATAACTGCAGGAGCTCTAGCCATCACATCCACATTCCACACAGAATGAATAGAAGGATAAGAGGCAAAAGGATGCTCCTCCCAGTTGAGTCACACCCTTTCAGAGAAATTTCCCCAGAAACCTTACCCAACAACATCTGTTTGCATATCATGACCACCCCTAGCCTCAAGGAGAATGAATACTGGGTGGGCAACTAGAACTCTGTGCCATATTGCCTGAGCAAGTTTTTATGCTGATTAATCTGGTTTGTTTTGGAAATGGATGCCTTCTAGAACTTTCATTTACCGTGTTACATATATAGTACTCTTTTATTGTTGTTCCCCAAATTCCTACCTCCTGTGAGACCTGGCTTTTGCCAATCTCATTTTTGCTGACCACAGTAACCCCTGTACTTGGTGAGAGTTATTGTTCTTACCCTGCTTCACACGGCAGTGCTAGATGCAGCCAGGATAATTGGCCAGCAGGGCTTTGAGAAGTGGCAACGATGCTCTCTTTGATCCTCACTGGGGGTCACCAGCTCCCTCACACCCTGGAGAGTAGACGCTCGCCTTGGACCACTCGCCAGTCTGAAAGCTCTGTTGTACTCTGTCTCGGAGGCAGGGAGCTGACACCCGTGCCTCCCAGAGGTCAGTTTCAAGTCCACGAGCCGTCCTGGTCCGCCTGGCCCATTATGAGGCTGGGCCCCCGTGATCTCTCACAGTTATTCCCTACTATGTGTCGGTGACCACTGGGACACACAAGGACGCCGCCACCGACAGCCGGGCCTTCATCCTACTCATCGGGGAGGACGACGAGCGGAGTAACCGCATCTGGCTGGACTACCCCCGGGGGAAGAGGGGCTTCAGCTGTGGCTCTGTGGAGGAGTTCTATGTCGCAGGCTTGGATGTGGGCGTCATCAAGAAAATAGAGGTGCTTGACCCTGGGGCCCCGGGATAGTGACCACCCCCAGGGAAGGAAGGAGCTGACCAGTACATGGGTGGGAGAGTGGCTGGAGGGTGGGCAGAGCGAAGATCTCCTGCCCTCTGCCATCAACTAGCTGGGTGATTTTGGTGAATCACCCACCCCTCCCAGTCCCAGTTTTCCACCCATCCAATGGGGATGGCTTGGGGATTAGTTTTCTATTGCTGTGTAACCAATTACCACAAACTTAGTAACTCAAGACCACACAAATATATTATCTCATCGTTTCCTGGGTCAGGAGTCCAGATGTGAGGTAGCTGGGTCCTCTTCCCAGGGTCTCACTGGGCGGAAATCAAGTTGCTGCCAGGGCTGTGGCCTCCTCTGAGGCTTGGAGTCCTGTCCCAAACTCACTCACCGGTTGTTGGCAGAATCTATTTCCTTGTGGGTGTAGGACTGAGGCTCCAGTTCCCAGAGGCTGCTCGCATTCCCTGCCCTGTGATGCTCTCCAAAACATGGAAATTTGTTTCTTCAAAGCCAATAAGAGAAGATCTTTCCTGCTTCAAATCTTTCTGACTTCTTCCATCCCTGATATCTAGACTCTCTTTTAAAGGGCTCACCTGATTAGGTCAGGCCCACCCTGAATACTCTTTCGGTTAATTCAAAGTCATCTGATTAGACACCTTAATTACATCTGCAAAATCTCTTCACCTTCATGGGAGGACCTTGGGTCAGTGAGTGCACAGCACACTGGAGGAAGCACTGAGGGAGGAGGCAGAATGGGGAACGAGATGCTGAGTAGGGAGGGCTTCCTTCCCAGTTGTGCCCAGATCCTCACAGCCCTGGCGTGTTTCCTCCCAGCTGGGCCATGACGGGGCCTCCCCGGAGAGCTGCTGGCTGGTGGAGGAGCTGTGTCTGGCCGTGCCCACCCAGGGCACCAAGTACATATTGCGCTGCAACTGCTGGCTTGCCAAGGACCGAGGCGATGGCGTCACCTCCCGTGTTTTCGACCTCCTGGATGCCATGGTGGTGAACATCGGGGTGAAGGTATGGAGGGGGGCCTGTGGGTGCACACTGCATGGCAAGGGCAGTACACGTTGGGGTGGGGCAGCGGGAGGGGAGATGGAAGTGAGGGAAGCAGGAGACTGATCACTAGGCGTTGGCAGGGGCTTCAGCCTGCTATACCGGGCAGACTTGCTCTGCCAGGAGCCGCGAGACTCGAGTCTCTTCTGGTCTGCTGCTGTGTGACCTTGGGTAAGTCACCTGGCCTCTCTGGGCCTTGATCTTCTCATGCAGCACATGGAAATACTGCTTCCCATCCTGTTCCATGTAAGAGCCTGAGAACTAATGAGATCGTGAACAGTCCATGAAGAGCTTTGCAAGGTAACAGCTCTACATGGACGTGCAGAGTCATTATTCTCAAAGGTGATGGGGACAGATGGCACTTGGGATTCTCTGAGCCTCTGGGTCTCACGGTACAGTGAGTGCTGTCTTAAGTGGGAAAGGCTGGACGGCAGGAGCACCATGCTCCTGTCCTAGCTCCACCTCTCTCTGGCCAAATGAGCTGGGACAAGTTGTGTAAACTCGGGGGTCAGTGCTGGGCAGGAGGCAGGATGCTGGGTGCTGGAGCCCAAGGACACAAAGCCGTTGGTGGCCCAGAGGCTTCTGGTTCATGTGGTCCTGCAGACGTCTTTTTCTCTGAAAAGCTGTGGAGTCAACAGAAGGTTCCAGCCCTCCTCTTTGTTCCTGAATCTTAAGTAATGGGTTACTAGATTTAGGTCAGAAGCCCTCCCACAAAGGGAAAAAGAAATCGCCTTGGGCCTGAGCATGCCCAGCCTGTGTTGTATATGGAAACAGAAGTTACAGGCGCTAAAAACCCTGACAGGCAGAGGGTGGATGCCTGCCCCTCCCCTACTTAAGAGCCAGAGAGTGGAACTTTGTGCAGCGTGGACACCCCCCCCCCCACCAGACGTCTCCATCTATGGCCAGACGGACGGTGTGGGTGAGCATGAGCACACAATTAGTCCAAGGACTTCTGTCCTGACCCAATTCCCAGCGTGCATGTGGGCGCGTGTGCCCGTGTGTGTGCCGCCCCCCAGCACATGCACACTTGCTCAGCGCAGCTGCAGCTCTTCTGTCTGCGGAAGTCCAGACCCACCCTCATTACTCACAGTACAAAAGAACACAGGTTTGTTGCTTTACAAAGAACCGCAGGGTTCTTTGGACTGGCCACTTCCCCAGGATGTCTGCTATCAGACCGGAATTACAAAAGCCGTGTTTCTGTGTCTCTTTCTGGAAACATACCTGTAACATAAAAAGAGATGTGTCTGTGTGAAGGAGAGAAAGATGGACACAGAGAACACAGGAGTCTGGAGCGAGCAGCCTTAAGGGGCCAGGCTCTAGGGGGCCACCAAAGCACTCATTTTGATCATTCTATTTTTTTACGCCTGTCTGGATAAGAGCAAAAAGTATCAGGCTCCTGCTTTTGTTCCCAATAGTTCCATGCGCTTCGCGGATGCCCTTGTTAGGGGTCTAAGAGGATTTTCCTGATAAAGCAAGAGGCTTTTCAATCATTTCCTTAGCAAACATGTCCTCTGGGCCAGGCCTGCAAATTCCACATCTAACCGTGCAGGATCACATCAAAGATTCTGGGTGCTGCTTATAAAGCCCCCGGCGCCCAACAGGCCCAACGTCGGGGGCGTGACCACTGCACCCAGGACCTTGGGTTCTGAGTTCAAAGGCTTCCGGGTGGTGGGCACCAGGCACCTGCACAGGCGATAATACAATGTGGCAGCCACAAGGGAAGGGGAGGCCAGGTGTGTTCAAAGGAGATGGGCAGCCTGGCGTTTCTTGGCCACGTGTGCAAGCCTCTCCTGAATCTTGAGACCTAATTGCTGGTCCTTGGACCCCGGGTGAGAGGAATGGATCCAGGATGCAGAGTGTGGGGGATGATGACCCCTCTTGCCACAAGGCTGCCTCTAGGAGGGAGAACCAAGGCAGAGGCCTCAGTGAGGGCGCCGTCCTGGGAAGAACGGGTTGCTCCCTCCCCTTCTGGTGGAGAAGGACAGGGGGAATACATCCTCTTGAGAGCAATCCTAAGGCCGAAATCCCAATCTCAGCGCAAATCATACGAATAGGCGATTATCCCATGTCACAAGTGAGGGGAGGCAGAACTCCCTTAGACTTCACCCCTGAGACGCTCCTCGCTCCCCGCTGCTCAGGGCCGGTGCTAGCTGCACCTTGGAGGAGGGACAGCCGCCCAGACTTGCTGCTGCTTCTTGACGCCGTGCCACGCGGCAGCCCCAGCGCCGGGCACCGAGGCGAAGTGTCTGTAGCTCTCACAGCTCTGCAGTCATTTACCCCTATGTTACGATGAAGGGAGCAGAGGCTGGAGAGAGTGGGGCATCCACCCAGGGTCAACAGCCAGCAGGTGGCAGACCTGAGACTCCAGTGACACTGCATGGCTCCCCAAGGCACTGTCCTGACACCACCCGCTGCTGGAATGCATGGACTTAGGTTGAGTTTTGATTGACCAAGAAGTAGATTAATGCTGGGGCTTTCAGCCTTGTTTCTGTTGCACACGTGTTCTCTAACAGAAAATGAACTCCTCTTAGTTCTGAACTGGACACCGTGGGCACATGGAGAGTGACAACGCCTGACTTGCTCTACACTGCCACCGTTGATTAGGGGGAGGGTGCTTTTCAGAGCCACCAAAGTTGGAGAGCATGTCGTCCTGCCTGGTGAGAGGGAGGCAAGTCATGGGGTCAGTGGGTGAGGCCGAGGATCAGGACCTGCCTCTGTCTCATGACAGGTGCTCTACGAAATGACGGTGTGGACGGGTGACGTGGTCGGCGGTGGCACCGACTCCAACATCTTTATGACCCTCTATGGCATCAACGGCAGCACGGAGGAAGTGCAGCTGGACAAAAAGAAGGCCAGGTATCAAGAGGTGGCCTCTGCCCCTCGCCCTCTGCACATCCAAACTTCCACCATCTAGTCCTCACCTTCCTTCCAGCAGACTGCTTCCCTCACATCCCCTGCAGACCATGGGGCCTTCCAGCCTCCATGCCTTTGTCTGTGTCCGTCCTCCCTCCTGGAATGCCCCTCCTCCACTCTTTTCTCTCTCATGACCTTTCTCTTTCAAGGTCCAGCTCAAATCTGCCTCCTCCAGGAAGCCTTCCTTGATTACCTCAGCTCATAGCCAGCCAGTCCTTCCTCCCTCCCTCCCTTCTTTCTTTCCTTCCATCACTCAAAGATATTTATTGTAAGGTCTGTAGATTAGCTGATAGCATTGTATCATTGTAATCTCCTGCTTTCGTCCGTTGTACTGCGGTAATGTAAGATGTTAACATTAGGGGATGCTGGGTGAAGGGTACACAGAAACTGCTCTGTTTTTGTAACTTTGCCACAAGTCTGAAATAATTGTGAAATAAAAAAGCTAAAAGAATTTTTAAAATATTAAAAAATGACTGAACACCCAGTGTGTGTCAGGCACTGTCCCAGGCACTGGAGGGACAGAACCACCAGGAAGAGAGGATCCAGAGCTCACGGAGCCTCACACCCGAGGGAACCACAGCAACGGCATGAACACCAACAAAGCGGGCTGACTTTGTGCCAGGCACCTTTCTAAGCCCTCTACACTTCTTGGCACACCTAGTCCTCCCTGCAACTCTCTGAGGACCATTCTTATCTGCCCCATTCTACAGATGAGGAAACAGAGGCACGGCAAGGTGAAGTCATGCTGCTCAAGGCCCAGTAGTGTCCCCTGTGGCACTGGGAACGGCACACAGGGACCCAGTCTTAAGTAGCAGGTTCTCTTGCCGCTGAAGATAGTTATTAGTGAGGACCACAAAGGTGGGCCTCCTATGGTACTTACTGTCTGCACTTGTCACCAGATCCCCAAATTAGACAGTCCTGGGTTTGGGCTGATTTTCTGTGTTCAGCCATTGTCCCCCAAACCATCCCTGGCCCTGATGTCTCGAGGACCAGAGAACCCTTATATGACCTATATAAGTCAATATGCTCTTTCTTTGGCATGAATTAATCAGAGAATGTAGTTTTATTTATTTGTGTCCAGGCCTCCAGTCACATATATGACCATCTAACATGTATAACATATGTATGTAAGTCAATCAGAAATATTTATAGAGCGAAAAATCATGCAGCCACCCCTTAGGCCAGGAAATTGAGCATTTCCTTTATTGTTTTATCCCTCCCCTGGGCATGCCCCCCCTAAACAATCGGCTTCCATTCGGCCTGGATTTCAGTGTTATATAAGTGGAATCAGGCTACAGGAATTCTTTTATATCTTCTTTCCTCACTGTTAGGTTTTTCAGATTTCTCTAGCTGTTGAGTGTGGCTGTGATTTGCTCATTTTCGTCGCCACCTAATATTCCCTTGGTGAGCACTTCGGGCCTGGAGAAGAGAGGGCTGGTGGCCTGTTGGAGGGGTCTGGGGAGGGGCGACAGAAGAGGCACGGAGGTTGGCCAAACTGTTGACAATTAAACTGTTAGTTCTGGTACGAAGGGCTGAGACAATGGGGGGAGACCAAGCTCAGAGTAAACAAAAACTCTGGCCACAGCCATCCTAAGAGGGGAAGAGCTGCCCCAGGCTGCCATGGGCCCCATCGCTGGGGACAGCTGAGCGTGGGCTAGACGGCCGTTGGCATGCGGACCCCGGATTGGAAGGAGGTTGGTCTAGCACGAAGCTGAGGCTGAGGCTCCGACTCCTGTCAACCCCGAGATGCCCAGCCATGCTTCTAAGAGGCACAAAGGCAAACTTGGTCTAGGCTGGCTTCGTGGCCCACACCCTCCTTCCCCGTCTTCCAGCCAGCCCCTCCCAGGCTCCTACCCGCAAACCTTCCCTAACTTCTTAGCAATGCCTAAAATTCTTCCATTAAATAGTTGCCCTTCCGGCCCAAGGCTTTGGCCCTGGTTAGCCTCAGGCTGTTCTCAGACACAGGGACGGGTGAGTGAGTGGGCACTGAGCCCCTTTCCTAGAACAGCCTTTGATGGGGGCAGGGAAGAGAAGGAAATCAGAATAGGAAGGCGAGGGGGCAGTCAAAGGCCCCTCCCCTAGATGTCACCCTTTCAGCTGTTGAGTGGAGGCCTCTCTGAGTAGGTGAGGGGGGCAAACGCTGGCCACTTCAGCTGTTCTGCCCTTCCTGACCTGGATCAGAGGCTGACCTCCTCTCCAACGGAGGCCCCTCGGTGTGGGAACCCTCCTGCAGGTCAGCTGAGGTGTCTTGAGGGGTCTGGGGCAGCAGAAGGAAGTGGCTAGTGAGTCGTGGAGATGGAGGGGCCAATGAGGGGCTTTCCCCTTGGAGGGGGGCCTTCTACCCTGAGGAGAGGAGGGCCATCCCGGTGTAACGGGGTCTAGCCTGTAGTGAAGGGTGACGGGGTAACGTAATCCACTTTTCACTCTTCCAGAAGAAAAGCTTAATTCTCTCTCTCTCTTTCCTTACTCCTGCCCCACCAAAATATCTCCATAACATGGAGATACTTGGCTAAATTCAAAGAGGAAAAGTTAGAAATACAAGGCAAGGAATCCTGCAGTTCCTTTGATCTGCAGAATTACACTCCAGCAGGGGTAAGGAGTCCATGAGTTGAGAGATTATCTGAGAAAATCTCCAATATGTGATATGAGCTTGACAAGGGAATTTGTGAGCCTCCCTTACAGTTGCCACATGACCGGAGGGACAGACGGGGCTTAAATTAAAGCAGGAGGGGCTTTGGGCAGACTTTTGGGAGAAGGTTTTCACTTCTAATCATCGCAAAGTGCTCAGGAGCAAGTTCTCAAGGAGACCAGGCCTCAGCCCCACAGCTGCCTTTAGGAGTGGTCAGTTCGCAGCATCTGCATCCCAGCCTCCACAGGCTGTGGCCTCTGTTTTTAAAAATATGTCTTGTATTCAAGGAGGCATAACAATTGCCATGCAGTGTTATAGCTGCAGTGCCACCTGCGTTACCCCCAGGGGCTTATCAGCAGCAGCGTCTGGAATCAGTCAGCAGTCAAGCAATCAGTCAGCATTGAAGGTCGTGTTATGTGTGCAGCACTGTGGGAAGAGCAGTGAGGAATAAAGATATAGCACCTCTGAAATGATGAAGTCATTCAGGAGAAAAATAGTGATAGCAGCAAAAGCCGTATCACCTTCTATTTGCCTGCCATTTTACAGTTATCAGTAGCATTACCCAATCGAGGGCCGCTGCATTTAGTTGTACAGATTGTGTATAGAAAAATTGTGAATGGCACCATCTAGAGTTGTGCAGTGTTCAACCTGCCCCGCCATTCATGGCAGCCCTGTCACTCACAGAATCTCATTTAAAGCTTTGAAGGTATGGAGTTCTTTTTACATTTTAAGTTGATTTCACATCCATTTGGTCCTACAGAGAGTTTTACACAGTTTCAGGGCTAGTGTCATTCTCCCCAGATTACAGATGAGGAAACAAAGTCCCGGAGAGGAGCTGGCACTGCTCTAGGTGGCTAGCAGAATGAGATGAGGACATAGAACTGGTAGCTCTCAACTCAGGGCCATTTCTACCTGCCGAACTCCCTTAACCCCAGCCTTTCAGAAATAAGTAGGGTGCAAGAGACAGGCCCCTGGAGAGTCACTGGGAGCTGAGTAAAGACCTCTTCTTCTCTCCTTACCCTGAATCTGGTCTCTGGCACGGCCCAGCCCCCTCCCCATGGCCAGCTGCCCTTCTTCATGGCCCTCCTCTCCACCCCCAGATTTGAGCGAGAGCAGAACGACACCTTCATCATGGAGATCCTGGACATTGCTCCATTCACCAAGATGCGGATCCGAATTGACGGCCTGGGCAGCCGGCCAGAGTGGTTCCTGGAGAGGGTAGAGTGTCTGCCCCTCACCCTCCCTTCCACCCACTGCCCGCCCCCACTTCCTGCTCTTTTGGGTTGTCAGTGGACCTTGTTAAAGTGCAAATTTCGCCTTGGAGGGTTATTACACCGACCCAACCTATATCATCCAATAAGTCTTTTGATGTAAATTAATCAGAGAATGTAGTTTGATTTATTTGTGTCCAGAGAACGCAGCATGTGCTGTCAACATGACATGGAAAGAGACTCAGTGTGGGCTTCTCAGAGGAAGTGAGTTGGGAGGGTTGAGAGAGGCACAGCAAGAACGGGGGCAGCGAGAGGCTCCCATGGCGGGAACTCTAGGCAGGACAGCAAGGGAGCTTTGGCGCCCTGTGACCACGCAGCCAGGTGGCTGCCTCTTTTTCTGTCTTGGGCCTCTGCTCCCCACTTAGTGAGTCTTCTCATCCCCTGTCCACCAAACGCCGTCTGTCCCGAGTCACCAGGCTCCTACTTCCCTGTTCAGCCATTAGCAGATTTTCTTGAGCCAACAATATGGTGCCCACACCAGGGATAGTCTGGCCAACTTCCGTATGCTGTTCCCAGGTGTTGGCTGCTGACTGTGGTTTGCTTGGTCCATTCTTCTGTCATTTATTCAGCAGGCATTTCTTGTGCACAATGATAGGCACCTCTCAGAAACATGTTTGGATGGATTGCCCATTTCTAAATCCCCAAACTAGGGTAGTCCCAGTGGGGGTTTCAGGCCCCATGCAAGGCATACAGGACAGGGTCTTTGTTCTGGAGGGGCCCTTTCTACACGCCTTGAGCCTAAGTCAGAAGGACTCATCTCAGGTCCTGGAGCTTGGGTCTTTGGGGTTCAGTGGAGGTGGCTGCATTAGAGGGTGGGGGGCTGGTGGAGGTGAAGGAGGGCGTTCCCACACCAGCTCCCTCTCACCCAGATCCTCCTGAAGAACATGAATACTGGAGACCTGACCATGTTCTACTATGGAGACTGGCTGTCCCAGCGGAAGGGCAAGAAGACCCTAGTGTGTGAAATGTGCGCCGTCATCGATGGGGAGGAGATGATGGAGTGGACTTCCTACACTGTCTCAGTTAAGACCAGTGACATCCTGGGTGAGTCAGAGGGTCCCTCCCATCTCCCACTCCCACCTCCCACTACGCTTGCCCCTTCTCAAATTCTGGCTCAGGCCCTGGGCTCTGGTCAGGGCATTCTTCTTTGGATGGCCTTGCAAAAGTTAATCAATCCAAGTCCTTTCCACAGTGTGTCATTTTTTGTCTAGACAAAGTATTTCCTCCCAATGACTGAGTTGGCTCTGTCCATCCTCCTTCAGGGAAATAGGGGAGAACAGTATCGGGCAGTATGATCAGCACTTTTGAAAATGGTGCAGGAGCTTGACTAAGGCCCTGTGTCTTCCTGATGCTGCCTGATGGCCCTTCCCCAGGCGCCAGACATCTCAGATGCCCTTGGGTTCCTTCCCACATTCCTGTGCTTGGCAACCATCTTCCATGTGCCAGCTTTGGCCTGGGGTCTTAGGACAGAGAATGACCCAGGGCCTTCATGGATCTGACATTCTGGCAGGGCAATGACAGTGAGGCTTTGACAGAGGTCAGCACAGGTGTTGGGGAACCCTGAGGAGGCCACCTTACCTAGCTGGGGATTGGGGGCAAGGATCTTGGAGGGCTTCCCAGAGGTGTAGCAAAAGTCTAGTCCAGAAAGACAAATGGAAGCCACTGAGGCAGATGGGACACCAGAAGTAGGGCCTTCCCAGTAAAAGTACTAGCATGTGCAAAGGCCGGGAGCCGAGGGGGAACACACTCTCGTCGTGGGGACAGTGCCTCCCACTACCCTCCCCTCTACCAAGCCTGTTCTCCAGGAGCTGTTGCAAAGAATCTGGCAAACTCTTTCACATTGATTGTAGATGGCTAGTGAGGGATTAACTTGTTGGCCCTGGTATCTTACATTTTTCAACAAAGAAACATTTAGCCAAAGAGATGAAGCTCCATGGTGAGATCTCAGGCATAAGTGATGGGTTAGTACAGTCTGCAGTTTGTTTTGGGCACCTGCTTCTTCCTTCTTGCAGTGAAACCTTCACTCTTTTCCTTGAAGTTCCAAGTGTCCACATGTTTTCAAGCTCCTCCATCCTCTAATGATGTGCTCTCAGAAGTAACTGATAAATTCATTCATGACAGTAGGGTATGCATCAGAAAAGCTTCATGAGGTCACCTCTTCTGGGAGGATTTTCTTTCTTTTTAAGTGGGGTCAATACCTCTATTTGGTTTAAGCAGATGATATGAAGCTCTAGCATAGAGTGTCAACCAGAGGTAGATTTGGCAAACAAGGACCTTTCTTCTGAGTTCACATGGTGCAGGAGGGAAGGAGCCTGTATTTCTAAACTGTAAAGCCAGCCAACATGGCACGCCTTTTAAATATGGTGTATTTCCCCAGAACTAGGTGAGTTCTTGCACTAAATCATTCACACTTGCTAACCAGAACTCCAGTCAGCCCAACAGCATTAACAGGGCACAGAGATGACATGAAGAATAGGGTTGGAGACCTAGAAGTCCCAGGACACTAACCAGCCCTTTCTGACCTCACCGTTGGCCTCACTGACTCTGAACTTGCCCATCTGCACCCTTGGCTCCTCCGAGGAGTCCAGAGTCCAGGCCAGAGCAAGAGAGTTGTGTGTCCGAGAGGCCAGCACCCAGCGCCCTTGTCTTGTGCACCCCCAGGAGCAGGCACCGATGCCAACGTGTTCATCATCATCTTTGGGGAGAATGGGGACAGCGGGACCCTGGCCCTGAAGCAGTCGGCCAACTGGAACAAGTTTGAGCGAAACAACACAGACACGTTCAACTTCTCTGACATGCTGAGCCTGGGCCACCTCTGCAAGCTGAGGGTCTGGCACGACAACAAAGGTAGCTCCCCTCAAGGTCAGGGTGGTGGGGGGGGTAGGCTGACCTCTTCACCTGAGCCCCACCTCGTCTCCCTGGCAGCGTGTTGAGCCTTCCACCCCAGGGTGGCAGGCAACTAAAAATGGCTGATTGATGCCACTTTGACACTTCCATCCGTTAGAAGAGCCAGTATTTCTGGACAAATTTTAGAACTGAAACTTCATTCCCCCTGCTTTTCCCCAGGGTATTGAGTGGTTCTGAATCTTCTGTGATGTTGGAGCATTAATTCTACTTAGTTCAGACATAAAAATTGAGGAAAAATAGGCTGTATCACCAAATTCACTTCCCATGGATTTTCTATAAAAGTTTATGCTTGTTTATTTCCATAATAGCAAGCCTAAAATTAGTCGAATGTGCTTATAAATATAAATGATGGAATAGCATATAAGCCAAGTGAGAAATTTATTTTTAACTTCAAGGTACCTAAGGAATACTTTGTCACATCTGTAACTGTGATGAAGTTCGTGTTCTCAGTGTTGCTTTGGTTATTCTTTTGTGGTCTTCAGGTCACTGTGACCATTTTTTCTAGCTTTTGGCCTTTAAGCTCTATTTTACGTAACTAGTGTAGAGTTGTTAAATACTAAATTTCACCTCCTTGACATATACTGCTTTCTTAATTCATACTGTTCTGACTCACCCCTCTTGTCTTCCATTAAAACTAACCTCTGCAGAGCTATCCACTCACAGCCTCCTCCAGTCTTTTCAGAGTCTCCCCCAAAAGTGGCACAGAGCCGCCCTGACACTTGTATTTGTCCTTAATTTTTCCAAATCCCCACTGAGGACCAATATGTCTGTCGTGGTGACTCATGAAGCCGACATGGAAGGTTGCAACCTCTCTTCCCAAAGGACCTAGGCCATTTTGCTTTAATATGAGTTAAACAGTTAAATTTTTTCCCATAACATGGGATAAGCTCAGATTAGGCACAGAGAAAATAGCCAGTCTTCAAAGCAATAAAATAACAAATATTTGCACAGCACTCCACAGTTTTCAAATCTCAGCATCTCCATTCATTCATTCACTTAGTGAACATTTACAGGGTTCCCTATGTTCCTGGTACTCTGTTAGGTATTAAAGATACAAATATTTGATCCTTACAACAACTTTGTGAATTACTGCAGCAAAAACACTTTATTATCCCTCTTTTCTTTAGCCGAGGAATATTGAGGCCCCATGAAGTTTGAATTTCTTACTCAGGATTACACAGCAAGAAAGGGACATAGCCAGAACTCAAATCCAAGTCTTCTGATGCCAGAGCGCATGTCTGTTCTGGTACACCATGCTCTGCGATCCTGCCATCACTACTCTGCACCCTCTCACAGCTGCTGTGCCCGTGGGTCAAAAAAGAAGATGAGAAGATGAGGGCAGCTTCTTCTATCTCTGCTCTCTATGCTCCCATATATGTTTATTTTGGGGGTGTATGGGTGTTGTCTTATCCAGAAAATGATGCATTGCAAGGGAATGCTTCTTCCTCACCTGTTCATTCAGGTGTCCTTATGAGTCTGTGGGAGAAAAGTGCTTATAAAACATTCTCAAAATATTCCTAATGGATCTCTCCTCTTTCCTGGGAAGGAAACAAAACAAAGACCCCTGAATTCTTTCCCACTCTCTCGTCATCCGTTATGATTGTCTTAGGACTAGTAGCCGGTTGGATGGTAGTTGAAAATCTGGCTTAATAACCAGAGTCATAGTCATTAAGACCATCTTCTGCCCCAGACGTGTCACAAGATCAAGACGAGCTGCTGCCTCTGACACTCAACACATGGATCACTCAGTCAAGACAGTCACTTCAGTGTTAAATTGGGCTGCCGGTGACTCAGGAAAAGCACTGAACCCCATTGTGTGTGTGTCACCACAAGCCTAATCAGAGGGATTTGACAGATCAGACTAATGAGACTGGGGTGGGGATGGGGTCTGTCTACCCTAACATCCATGCATACCGTTTCCTGTTGCAGTGCCCACACGAGAGCAAACCATTGTTTTGGAGTATATTCCCAGGAAGTATGCCCCGGCCTTAATCAGAAAGAAGTACATTGTGTCTATGGGCTTCCAACTTTCTGCCAGGCTGCCGACACACACTGGCAAGACATCATTACTCTTGAGGGCAGGGGCCATGCCTTATTCATCTTTATCTTCATAACGTCCCATGACAGCACCTGTATCATAGTGGAAACTCATTAAACCTTGGCTTAGTTGAGACACCTGCACCCCCACACCAGGAGAGAGCTGAGAAATACCAGGGTTGCTAATCCTGTTCGGCAATAGCCCTTACCTCAGAATCAACAGAGAAGCAAAGGAACTAGAATCTTGAGAAGGGAGGAATATTATTCCCAGCCAGCCTGAATAATCCCCTCAGGATTCAATCACACGATGAGATCAGAGGGCAAGGGGTTCTTGGATCACCTCTCGGTCAGGCCAGAAAACTGCTTAAGGAAGGATTTCATGTAGACCATGATGACCTCACTCCCTTTTCCAAGAAAAGAAGACAATATCAGGGCCATTTTTAATATGAGAGTTTCATTCATGGGGGGTGTGGGGAGGGGTCGGAGCTGAGGGTTGAGGGATGGTCAGAAAGACTGAGGATGCATGTGTTAAAGACCACAGTTCTGGAGAAATCACTCAACAATCTTTGGAGCCATGGAGCTGTCCTGGGTTCTGACTCCTCCTCTGGCCTCTCTCACCTCTGGACTCTGCAGCCTGTTCCCAGGGTTCCGACCTTAGGTGGTGACTCTTCTCAACCTTGCCTGTTATAGACATCTCTCAAACTTGGCAAGATGGTCCACATTACCATACAGCCCCTCCTCAATTCACAGAAATAAAAGGTAGAGAGTTGCTGATCCTAGATCAGGCTTATCTTTGTCTCCTGCCTTCAAAGGCCACTGTTTCCAATTCTGAACTCACCTGACCAGACCCTTGAAACCCTACTGATTCTTTATTTCTTGGTTGACTTCTCCGGATGCTGCCTTCGATGTCTTTCATCATCTTCCCTCCCAGTTTGTTTCTCATCACAACTTTCCAGACTCTGCTTGGGCATTCCTACTCCACATTGTATCTTCCTTCCAAACTATCTAGGAAAGTAAAGGTTCATATATTTGAGAAAAATATTCCAGAAGGCCATGCAGCAACATTTCAGTAGTCAGGGGTAATGTTTGTCTTTAGTGACTCCTATGTTGCCCCCTTTCTTGTTTTGCTTCTCCTACCTGCCATGCCCTCTCCTCAGACAATACAAGCAGTCCATTTCCTCTATGACTGCAGCCCTAGCAGTCTTCTCAGTTTTGTATTAATAGTAGTCAATAAATCAAATACAATGGATTCTCATTCATTGGCGAGCACTGAACTAATGCTTCTAGGGGAAATACAAGGAAAGCTCCTGTGAGCCCCTGGTCACAACATTTTCATCAACTGATTGGTACACAACCTTGTTTTGTGTGTGTTCCTGTTTAGAGATACCTTGTTTAATATATATTGTTGATTTATTAACAGCGAAGTCAGAGCCAACAGCACTACAACTCATGGCTGAATGCAGCTCCTCTAACACATGTATTTTCTCTGTAAGGCACAACACAGCCTTGTTGCACTTAGAAATACTAGACAGCCCTTCAGCACTATGCTTGGGGGCCTTTTAAACAGCAAAATCGCCAATAAAAAGCACAAAAATGAGAAAAACATGGCACTAATTAGACCACAAAAAGGACACTTGTTTATAGTATAAAAGCTGAACAAGAAGACAGAGCATCGTTTTGATCAACTTCAGCTGGCAACGTGTGCATTAAACAACTCAAATTTTTCACCACTCTGCACATTTCCATGAATGACTGTGAAAACACTGTGAGTATTGATTATATGGTTACCAATACATTTTAGCAAGTAGGTGAATTTGCAAATACAGAATGTGCAAAGAATGAGGTTCAACTGTATCAATCACTTACTGCCAGGCACTGTGCTCAGTGCTGGGGAGACAGTAGTAAACAAGAGATCAGGTTCCTCTCATCTTGAAAATGACCTTGTAGCAAAAAAATATGTTTATTAAAAAAGTAATTAATTTAAATAATGATAGGTCTCTAAAATGGGGGCCCACAAGGTGCTAGTCTGAGGATTCATAGGCGAGCTCTCTGAAGAAGTGGTATTTAAGCTGAGACCTGAGGAATGAATAGGAGTATACATGAGGTGCAGTGTGTATTTGCCAAAAATGGAGAAGCACTTTTGAAGCAGAGTGAATAGCAAATGTAAAGCCCCTAAAATAGAAGGAGTCTTTTTTTATTGAGATGTAATTGACATATAACATCATTAGTTTCAGATGTATAACATAATGGTTCAATATTTGTATATATTGTGAAATGATCGCCACAGTAAGTCTAGTTAACATCCATCACCACACAGTTACAATTTTTGTGTGTGTGATGAGAGCTTTAAGATCTACTCTCTTAGTAACTTTTAAATATGCCATATATCTTAATTAACTATAGTCACCATGGTGTGCATTACACCCCCATGACATTTATTTTATAATTGCAAGTTTGTACCTTTGTGTGTGTGTGTGTGATTTTTTTTTTCTGTGAGGAAGATTGGCCCTAAGCTAACACCTGTTGTCAATCTTCCTCTTTTTCTTTTTTTTCTCCCCAAAGCCCCAGTACATAGTTATATATCATAGTTGTAAGTCCTTCTAGTTCTTCAATGTAGGATGCCATCACAGCATGGCTTGATGAGTGGTATGTAGGTCCGTGCCCAGGATCCGAATCGGTGAACCCTGGGCTGCTGAAGCAGAGTGCACAAACTTAACCACTAGGCCATTGGGTAGGTCCCTGAAGTTTGTACCTTTTGACCACCAGAAATTTTGCTATGCACCAGAAATGAAAGAAAATTCCAGAATGACTACAAAGTAGGTAATAGGGGTGGGAGCTAGAAAGTAGATAGGAACCAGGCCATACAAGATATTATAAGCCATTCCAAGGATTGAGACTTTATC